TGATGGTATTTGATCTTGCTGCATTCTAACGAGATGGCCAAACCACTTGATCTGCTGTTTCTCGATGAATCTAGTACAAGGTGTTGTTCCCACAATTTGCCTGATAGTTTCATTATTCACTCGATCTCGGATGGTTAGGTTGGCTGCTTTTCTCAGGCACCTCATCTCGCAGGTGGTAATTTTGCGTATATGGGCTTTAGATAGTGTCCATGTTTGGCACTGATAGCTTAATGTTGGAATAAATATGCTATTAATAATCTGTCTCTTTTGCACTCATAGTTATACTTGGATGTCTTAATAATGGTGACAATTGGTATATAAGTGCACTTGCTTTCTGACATTAGTTAGTCTAGTTTTTATACCAAAGCAGCAGTCAGACATAATTAGTTTTTGATCTTGTATGCAAATAGCTGAATTGAATGAATACAACTGAATCTTGAAAGGTTGTTTTCTTAAAAATAAAGTTGCAGAAAAACTTAGAAATCGCCCATATTTTAATTTGATCACCAAACCTAACAGTGGCCAGCCTCACAAGCGAGGCAGGCGTACAGACACAAGTTCACACACACACACTCGCAGACACAACACACAGACACATTATATACAGGAATAATTACAGATACCACAGACACAGAGCGCGCGTGCGCACACATACACCCCGCATAACGAGAGAGAAGAGAGAGGCATAATACAAACACGTTCACTTACACACAATTACAGCCGGTGAACGTGAAGAAGAAGACTTACACACAGAAGTCTGTGTGTGTGAGAGACATAGATAGATAGATAGAGAGAGAGAGAGAGAAAGAGATTATCATCACCAGTCGCCACTATCATTCATGTATGTTTGTATTGTCGGCTTCTGAAGCTTAGGCTTTGCGAACGCGCTACGTAAGGTCGGGGTCGATCCCAGCTGCGGGCCTTGGCCATGCGCTGGTTTCGACAGTGGTATCGATAAACCGTCCATAAAGCAGTGGCAAACTACTGGATGTAAATTTGCCCAGAGAAACCACAACAGCCAAAAAATGCTGGTGTTGGTTCTGCAACGTCATGTAAAGGATACGAAACCTGATGTTTGCATTTTGAATGTATTCACACATAAAACCTTACACAAAGGGCAACACTCTATAATGTCACAAACAAGAAAAACCGAACCAAGCATTTGTAAATATGCCGTTTTTCTCCACTACAGAAGAAATTCCCCCGAGACTGACTGACTGACTTTCTACCCCACTAGGACATCACACAAGCGATAAACGACGGAAAGGTTACCCGAATGGCAACCCGACAAGGGGATTCTGACAGCGTAATTGACCTGGCCCTAGTGTCTCCCTCCATTGCACCAGGATGCAGGTGGAGCACATTGGGATACCATGACAGTGATCACTTTCCTTGCGTCGTCCTGGTGGAGAAGAGCAACAACAAAGGTCATGTAATCAATGTGCCTGCTTTTATATATGACCGTACAGGGCAAGATGCCATTAGCAAAATCAGACGACATAATACAAGAGCAGATCGCAGACGGCGGGAGAGATGGTCCCAGCCACCATGGTGGAATGAAGTAGTCAACATAGCGTGGCTAGAAAAAAGGAACGCTGTCAAGGCATGGCAAAAGGCAAGGAAAATTGATCCGTCACTTTCTGAACGCCTGATCAGTCTGAAAGATGAGGTCAACAAGCGGACAGTGGCTTTCAAGTTAATTGCGAAAGAAGCCAAGACAGCGAAATGGAACGAATTCTGCAAGAGCGTTTGCTCCGAGGGATCTCTTGTGACATTCTGGCGCCTTCAACGGAGCATGCACGGCGCCGCACGACCAAGGGGTATCCCTGATTTTCAGGGTACAGACCTGATATGGCAGAGAACTTATGCCGATAAAGGAAAACCCTTTTCTTGCGCGCTACTTGGAGCAAACTGACCAAAAAGACGAAGCTGCAAGAATAGGGGTTAAGATGAAACTGTCGATGCTGTGCGAGAACACTGAGCTAGGCACTGATTTCACAATCACTGCAGACACCTTAAGAAACTTGCCTCAAGAAATCGCGCGCAGCACTGCTCCAGGCCCTGACGGCATCCGATACAATGACATGCTGATGATGTCGAATTCTGATTTGAAAAGCGTGGCAAAGGAATTCAATATCAGCATCCAGAGTGGCCAGATACAAGAGGAATGGCTCCATAGTTATTTGTTTCCACTACCAAAGCCTAATAAAGACCACTCAAAGATCTGCGGCTACAGAATCATCTCGATGCAGAATACTGTTGGCAAACTTTTGGAAAAAATTGTCGCACAAAGATTGACCACCTACTTGGAACTACATGATAAGTTCCCCATCAACACTTGGAGGGTACAGATTGAAGAAAGAGACATGGTCCAATGCTGCTGTTTTCGCCTACGATGTGTACGAGGGATTTCAGATTAAAAAAGAGACATGTGCGGCAGTGTTGGACTTAGAAGATGCCTACAATAAAGTACCTTATGATTATTTAATGCAATTACTGCTTAAACTAGAAGTCAATCCTATTCTGATCCGCTGGATTGCTGCGGTCCTGTTCCAGAGAAAGATTGTACTAAGATGTGGTAGCTGGTCCTCAGAACCGCAAACGATATGTCCAGGCTTGCCACAGGGATCACCGCTATCACCAGTCTTATTCAACGTTTATACGGTGATGATCACTGAGCAGCAGTTGAATGGAAAGGGAAGGACTTTGTCATTTGCTGATGACATTTTGATTTATCGACGAGGGCATGATAGACAGGAGATCGCCAGCACAATGCACAAAGAACTCGATCGAATTGCCGCCTGGTGTGATGGTTCCAATGCCTATGTCAATCCCTCGAAGGCATCAGTGTCATGGTTCTCTTTGAACAATCACATTGTCAAGTCGGACTTACCAGAAGTGAAAATGCGTGATAATGTATTGATCAGAACCAACGTTGTGACGTTTCTCGGGGTGAGGTTCGATCGCAGCTTGTCATTCAGGGAACACGTTGACCATGTGATAACAAAAGCACGCAAAGGTCTATCTGCAATGAGGATTATGGCTGCTTCCAATATCGAGCAAAGACTGCTGGTGCTTCTATTCTACGGTCTGGTCCTTTCCCCCATTGAATACGCTCTGGCCATCCTCACTGTCAGTGCTACCCAGATTGAACGACTCGAGAAGGTGCAAAATGAAGCCATGCGTATTATTTTGGGATGTACAAGAGACACATCCTGTGGAGCAATGAGGTATCTACTTAACTTTCCAACAATGAACCAAAGGATCAGGATGTGGAGGGCTCGGGCATACCTCAAAATATGTGCTGATAAGAAACACCCACTGCATCAAGCGCTTTTTAGTTAAAAGGGCGACAGACTGAAGAGGGGAAAATCGTGGCTAGGTCGGGCAGAAGATGTTATTAGGCAAATATGCAGCCTAACCGACATCATACCTGGTGCAGAATGGATACCTGTGCCTCAGGCGTGTATTTGTACATTTTCCTGTATTGTCACACTCAACAGGCGATGTAGAGAAGAGAATCCTGTTGTTAATGCAGAGGTCAACGCTCTCATCGGTGAAAATTCAGACGAAGCAGATGCACTAATCTATACAGACGGATCCGTTATACGCCAAAGAAGAAGCGCATGGGCATTTACAGCACGCTCAGCGGGCAGAACAGTCAAAGAAGCCAACGGCGCCTTCTCCATGACAACCAGCAGCCTGACGATGGAGGTGATGGCAGTGACGCAAAGCGTTTGCCTGGCTTGAAACACAAAAATACACCCGCATATGTATACTCAGTGATTCAATGAGTATGATCCGGAGGGTTCAGCAGGTTCAGTGCGAAGACAATGGCTTGAATCAATTCAGAAGTCCACTGTGCGAGGAGTCACCTTTATTTTTGTTCCGGGACACGCAGGCGTCGATGGAAATGAAAGAGCTGACAGGTTGGCTGGATCCGCTATCACTACCGACGGTCGGCCTATGGATCATGCTGATATTATCAATGCCCTCAGAGAAATAGGAAGGATAGAGGACTTTGGTGGCAGTGAATCCACATCACTCACCAGAATGGCAGACTTGGGAATTAAGATCGGCACAGCAAAAAACGAGACGCACACCGGACACGTCAGAAGACTTGTTAATCAACATAGAACTGGTACTATTAGCCATCGGACGTTGGGATTCATACTGAGGGGAGGATCTGAGCACCTATGGACATGTCCGGAGTGCAATGATGATAACCCAACTAACTAACTAACTAACTAACTAACTAACTAACAAGCGATAAACACCCGATGACACAGAGTGCCACTATGTGGATGAGGATCGCCGTGGAGAGGTCCCAGAAACTGCTTTCCATATTATGGCCTGCCTATATTGCGGCTACTGGCAAAAGCCAGGGTGGGGCTTCAAATAACAAAAAATTTCGTCCTAAAAGGACGAAACTAGATATAACTATGATTATTCCCCTGAGACTGACTGACTAACTTTCTACCCCACCAGGACATCACACAAGTAATAAGCACCCGATGACACAATATGCCACCATGTGGATGAGGATCGCCATGGAGAGGTCCTAGAAACCGCGTTCAGACAATTGGCCATACTTATGGCTATATGGCTATGCCTATATTGCGGCCCCTGGCAAAAGCCAGGGTGGGGCTTCAGATAACAAAATGCACCGTATTCCCCTGAGGATTGGATTTTTTACCCCACCAGGACATCACACAAGCGATAAACACCCGATGACACAAAGTGCCACCATGCGGATGAGGATCACCGTGGAGAGGTCCCAGAAACCGCGTTCAGACATTTGGCCATAATGTTGACCTGCCTATATTGCGGCCCCTGGCAAAAGCCAGAGTGGGGCTTCAAATAACAAAAAATAACGTCCTAAGAAGGACGAAAAGCAGTAATAGAATAATTCCCCTGAGATCTAACACTGATACTTAATGAACAAACTATTGCCCAATCAAAATGAAATATGAATTTGCTGTGCTATTAGCAGACAGAAAATGGCGGCGTTTCCACCTCTGGCGCAGGTTTAGTTGTTGTTGTATTGTTTACAGTTTCTGTTTGAGATTTGTGTCTGCTGGTGATATTAAATGCATGCAGCAGTGACATACTATGTTATTAAATACAGTTAAATGTCCAGCCCCCATCTGTATGTAATTAGTAATTAGTAGCCAGAATCCTGCTGTTTTCGATTTTGTTATAAAATTATTTTAAATTATTAATTATATATTTTATTTTTATTTTTACGTAATGTTTCAATATATTAATCTAATTCTTGCTTTGCTTAAGTTTCATTTATTATTTCACTGCAACAACTGACCCAGAACGGACTACATATTTTTTTTTAAAAATCGTTTTTGTGGTGCTCCAATATAACATAACTTGGCTCTACTTTGAACTTCTCCATAAAATGGCGGCCTTAATATGATGCCGTTCGAAAGAGAGCTAAATTGGCCAATTTCTGGCTATAAAATATCAAAAAATATCCGAATGGGGCTCAGTTCTATTAAAAATATATGTGCCGGCTCCGCTTAACGAGACAAATGCTCTAACAGTGTCTCGGCGATACGTTACTTGCGGACCTGCTTCTGCGAGTGTGCCCTCACCGCCGGCTACGTGCGGCGCGCATGCGGACTAAACTAGATGGCTGGGACTCACGAGCGGCAGCTACCGCATCTCCTGCAACTTCCTCCAATTACTTTACTCATGAGTCCCAGGCACCTAGTTTAGTACCCCCCCCCCATCCGCGCCGCGCGTAGTGGCATGGGGGATACGCTCGGCGATGAGTTTAATCGCGTTTTGCGCATGCCGACAGGTCTGATATCTACCGCTGCTAAATCCTCCAATCGGAAGAACACAGTATTGCTAATCGCTTTCATCGTCTGTAATGCCTTGAAATTGTCAACGGTCGCTAATATCGTCAGCTAGTATCGTCTGCAGAAACGCTTGAAATTGTCAACAGTCGGTATTTATCGTCTGCTACTACCGTGTGCAATGTTGATATTGATTGTCAAGTAATCCTAGTTTTGCTGCGATTTGTTCCTTGGCAGAAAGTCCGTATTTTAGTTATACGTGAACACCGTTCAGATATTTTTGGATATTTTATGGCCAGAATGTGCCATCATATTACGGCCGCCATTTTATGGGGAAGTTCAAAGTAGAGCTCATTCTATATGCCTGAACAGTTGAACGTAGGCGATGGATGGACAGAGGAGTCAAGAGACATTCAGCCGCCTGTTGGAAATAGGTACTAAACGAGGATAAGCATGCAGAAACCGTTTGCACGGTAAAGACAGAAGATATGCCAGGCAACCCTCCTGGGTTAATTGAGCTTGGAGACACAGAGATGGCTGCTGCATCTGAGGACGGAGCAGGAATAGGTCTGACCGATGTGCCAGGATGTTGATTTGGACACTAAGCAACGAATAACCCCTATAGTAATATGGCCCATAGTGCCTTTACTTTTCTGATGACGTATTGTTCTCACTGCTTACTTACTCCACAGTCACCTCAATGCTAAATCCTGTTTTCCAGAAAATTGCATTCAAATACTGAGTTTAAATGAACATTATATAGTTGCATAAAAAGTAATACTTCATTTTGACCTATTTGGAGTAGGAATTCACTTTTGTACCTTTGACATATTGTAAAGTGACCTTTGACATAGGGTAAAGTGACCTTTGACATATTGTAAAGTGACCAATAAGAGCTCTGGGAATGCACTTAGGTGTAAATTGCCAATATTACACTAAAGGTGACTTTGGCGTAGTGCCAGTTTTATGCAGTGTTGATTTGATTGCGTCCTTTAGTAAACATTTTACTAAATAAATCTTTATTAGAAACACAACAGTGTGGTCATCTCTTTTTTTCCAGATTGTTGGCAAACATGGAGGGATATATGAGGCCTACTATATGCAGGTCATATTATTATATGTGTGTGTAGATAATGTAGTGTGTGCGTGTGCGTGTGGATGAGAGAGAAATTCTCTGTCTTATGTCATTTTCTGTCTGTCCGTCCGTCCTCATTGCAGTTTACCAAATCTTGCATACAGAAGTGAAATATAAATAGAAACTACAGTATAAATCACCAGAACCAGTTCTAAATCACTTATTCTAACTCTTTAAGGCCCGTGCAATGGTGTGAGCATTGATTCTAACTCTTTAAGGCCCGAGCAATGGTCTGAGCATTTATTCTAACTCTTTAAGGTCCGAGCAATGGTGTGAGCATTTATTTTAACTCTTTAAGGTCCGAGCAATGGTGTGAGCATTGATTCTAACTCTTTAAGGCCCGAGCTATGGTGTGAGCATTGATTCTAACTCTTTAAGGTCCGAGCAATGGTGTGAGCATTGATTCTAACTCTTTAAGGTCCGAGCAATGGTGTGAGCATTGATTCTAACTCTTTAAGGCCTGAGCAATGGTGTGAGCATTGATTCTAACTCTTTAAGGTCCGAGCAATGGTCTGAGCATTTATTCTAACTCTTTAAGGTCCGAGCAATGGTGTGAGCATTTATTCTAACTCTTTAAGGTCCGAGCAATGGTGTGAGCATTGATTCTAACTCTTTAAGGCCCGTGCAATGGTGTGAGCATTGATTCTAACTCTTTAAGGCCCGTGCAATGGTGTGAGCATTGATTCTAACTCTTTAAGGTCCGAGCAATGGTGTGAGCATTTATTCTAACTCTTTAAGGTCCGAGCAATGGTGTGAGCATTGATTCTAACTCTTTAAGGTCCGAGCAATGGTGTGAGCATTTATTCTAACTCTTTAAGGTCCGAGCAATGGTGTGAGCATTTATTCTAACTCTTTAAGGTCCGAGCAATGGTGTGAGCATTTATTCTAACTCTTTAAGGTCCGAGCAATGGTGTGAGCATTGATTCTAACTCTTTAAGGTCCGAGCAATGGTGTGAGCATTGATTCTAACTCTTTAAGGCCAGAGCAATGGTGTGAGCATTGATTCTAACTCTTTAAGGCCCGAGCAATGGTGTGAGCATTGATTGAGATTGAGTGCATTTTCTAAGTTCATTTTTTGAGTGCCATGAATACCAGTGTTCCAACCACACGTGCAGGTCACAGAATGCTTCATTCTGCGCCCGAAGCTCTGAATTTGTTTCAGTCAGATGTTTTTAACTCTGATATGGATAATGAAAATTTCGATTTTTTCGGGATCTAGCGATTCTGATGAGTTTACACAGACAATGTCCTATTGCTACTGTATTTATGGTGTGAGAGAAGGAAAGTGCTCCAAAACAAAGAGACAGTACTATACTATGGCTAAGCTACATTTAAATATTTGCATTGTTTTTAACTGTACAAAGTAAATAGTAAATTGTGCTTTGACTTCCCAGAAATGTAGCTGGTACCCACTCAACGCTGGGTCAACCTGGGAGTCAAGGTAATATTTTTGAAACAAAAATTCAGCCCCAGTCAGGAACTGAACACACGACATCTGATTTGCGGGCAAAAGCCTAGCTTCTAGAGCACAGCGGCTCCAAATATAAAGGGTAGTAGATGTAAATTGTCTTCCTCAGAAACTGAACATTAAAACAGTTATGACACTGAAAGATTTGTCATGTGAAACTACAGTGGACGTAAGATGTAAAATACTCATTTTGTGTAGGCACTCAAAATCTCAGGTCTGCGGCTGCCTCATGCTGGCTTCTAAAGACATAGCATGTGATGAATGAGGGGCTGAATTTACAGAAGTTAGGCTAAACATTCATAAGCAGGACGTGATGATTCCCTTGGTGAGCCCCAGTACCAGAGCACCATGTATTGGCTCTGCGTAGAAGCCTCCTTGGATGGCAGGGAGTGCTCATGTTCCACCCCTGCTTTCTCTAGAGGACTGATCAGCATAAGGTGGCTGCACTGGACTACCCTGATGGAGGGTACCAACTGTGAACCAGGAAACAAAGATGACCACACAACAATGAGACTGAAATGTCTCACGAAATGTCTGAGCTTAAAGGTACTAATATCTTCGGATGAACTCAGAAGAAGAAGAAGGAAACTTAAAGAGTAATAGCATAGCTCAACTTATTAAGTAACACTGTCAGAACCTGCTCTGTTTATTTTGTTTCAGGCTGATCCCTTAGGCACAGGTAGCATTGGGGCCCTGGATGCGGCTAATTTCCTGAAAAGATCCAAGCTCAGTGACACCATTTTGTCCCAGGTGTGTACTTTAATATTTTGTTTGCTTTTTGGAAGTAGCAGTATGGAGCTCAGGGTTCATGTTTTGTTTGCTCTCTTATGAGTTTGGGTTATCTTCATTGTACTCTGACACGTCCGAAGGTGCTCATATTCCCACTTCAGCATATATATATATATATATGGTACCTTTATCAGCGTCCTGCGGTTGATAGTGGCAGTTCTGTGTTAGTTGACAAAACTTCTTGTATGTCCGGTGTGCCTCTCATGCCTGGCACTGCCGATCTTTATTCTCAATTCACGCATTCTTAGCAGTAAAGTTGACAAGCTGCTCCCAAAATCCTCAGATCTTCCTGTCTCTCTGAAGGCATTTCGGTGTGATCCATAGGCCAGTCCTCTGCAACTAAGGTAGAACAGTCCAGTCTGTCAGCTCTTTCATTGCCAGCAACACTTGCATACCCTGGGATGAAGGTGAAGGTAACTTCACATACAGTAGAGTTTTACAAGCTGTGATGTCTTTGTTAATCTCATGCCAATGACAGGCTAACAGATTGCTTCTGACAGGAAGTGTGCAAGATGTCGGTTTATGTAATCTACCATCATCATGAACAGTTTGAGGGAGAGATATAGACTTGCAGTGTGTAAAATCTTTAGTTTTTGACTACTTTCATCATGGTCAATTCTTTCTTTGTCAGCCAGACCATAAGAAGGTCAAGAGATCTCATAATCTCTATCTTACCTGACTCTGGCACATCATTGTTTCTAAGACAGCCACTTGTCTTAGAAACTAAAATATGAAGGCCATGTTTAACTCCATAGTAGTTTGAAAGAACAGTAATGCAAAGTGTGGTCCCTGAAGTCAGATATCCTCATGTGGATTCTCAGGCCCCAATTTTGGGGGAAAAGTCTAGAGCCACTGCCTCCACCCCACCCTGAACAAACATGTTGTAAAAGGCGACAGGCGACTAATTATGATTTTCCTGAAATTGGATGTGTTGGGCCAACAAGTGAAGACAATGCGGCATAGCTGTAAACCACAACACAACCTGCCAGGAAGCACTTTTAAGGATGAGCGCAGAAGAAAAAAAGAAGAAGAAATGACGGGCAGGGATCAGTCAGATCAAAAGTGAACACAGGATATTAGAGACACGTTGAGCACAAAAATACATCATATAGAAGAGTTTGGAAATGGTCTGACAGGCTGTTTAGTGAGCCGCAGGGGGGGAGCAGCGTTTGGTAAAGGACCTGCTACATGATGATAATGATGATGTGACTTCCTATTCTTGTCTATATTACTCCCAAAGGGGCTGCGTTAGCGCAGTCGATAGGAGACTCGCTTTCAAATCCTCCTGCGACTCGGTGCAGCCCACAGCCGGTGTTCGAAACTGGGTGGCTCAAGGGGTTCACCCAGCCTCTAGGTAATGGGTACCAGCGTTTACACTCTAGGGTAAATGGAGGAACATCTCTGTAGCTACAGAGTTGCGTGCGGACGGCGACACAGGCGGAAAGTTTCTTGTCAGCTGTCCGTGCTGGTGGCAGAGCACTTATGGTTTATAACCGTGTGCAATGATGCTGGTCCACATCTCCTGTCCTTACCTTTTTTTACCTTTATATTTTACTTCCTCAGAAAGAACCTCGTCAGCAAATACCTGAAGGAGTTTAATGTGTCAGATGAAAGTTGCAGATATTACAGCTATGTTATGTTGTAAACAGGTCAACTCATTTACATCCATAAACAAAACCAAAAATAAAAGAAGACGGTGAAGAAGAAGAAGAATATGACGATGACGAAGAAGAAGAAGAAGACGATGACCAAAAAGAAGAAGAAGAAGAAGAAGAAGAAGAAGAAGAAGAAGAAGACGACGACGAAGAAGAAGAAGAAGAAGAAGAAGAAGAAGAAGAAGAAGAAGAAGAAGACGACGACGAAGAAGAAGAAGAAGAAGAAGAAGAAGAAGAAGAAGAAGAAGAAGACAAAGAAAAAGACGAAGTAGAAGATGAAGAAGAAGAGGAAGAAGAAGGTGAAGACGAAGAAGAAGAAGATGAAGAAGAAGATATAACACTATATTTAATGTAATCACTAAGTTCATTTATTAAACCAATTTTCTTCCCATAAGAGTGCGAGGCCGCCCCCATCTTGGGAAGAAGAAAAGAACGAACGACTGTCTTCTAACAAGCATGTCATGAAAAGTGACTGATTAGGGTTTGCTAAAAGAGTTGGATAGAAAGGCATAGATATTGCAGCCTAGCTGTAAACCACAACACAACATGCCAACCGCCCTTTTAATAGCGTATGCAGCAGAAGAAGAAGCCAGCTATCAGATTTCTGTGTTGATGTATACAGTTCAGACATTTCGTCAGATTCTCAGTGGCTTCACGTGTATCGTGTTTATTCAGGTCTGGGACATGTCGGACCCAATGGGGAAAGGGTATCTGGAAAAAGCTGGGTTCTTTGTGGCCCTCAAGTTGATTGCCTTGGCACAGAGCAAGCAGGAAATGAGTGTTGCCAAACTGACAGTGGAAACCCCTCCTCCAGATCTGGTAAGGTTTAACATAAATGTGAAAGTAAATAAGGTTCAACATAAGTGGGACAGTAAAGTAAATATGGTTTAACATAAATGAGAAAGTAAAGTAAAAATGGTTTAACATAAATGGGAAAGTAGAGTAAATAAGGTTTAACATCAATATGAAAGTAAAGTATAAACGGTTTAACATAAATGGAAAAGTAGAGTAAATAAGGTTTAACATCAATATGAAAGTAAAGTATAAATGGTTTAACATAAATGGGAAAGTAGAGTAAATAAGGTTTAACATCAATATAAAAGTAAAGTATAAACGGTTTAACATAATGGGAAAGTAAAGTGAAGGTTCCTTTACACGCCAGTGGCACATCGGGCACATAGGCTAGACTATTTTTAAAAAAATATAGACCAGTCTGCCCTCGATGGGGTTGGCATCACTTCAGCCGCCTTTACTACCCAGGGCTTTATCTGATACCTACTTTCTGCTTAGTTGTTTTAAGTTGTATATCACTTTTCCTCCCCTCCCTCTCTAAATACCTGATTTTAAAAAAAAGATATTACGATGTGTGCTTTTTCTTCTACAATTGTCATTGTTCGAAGATTTTTCTCAAGAATCCCCATGTTATGACCCCTGTTATTCATCAGGGCAAAATAAAAGAGGAGAAAGGAAAATGATATAAAGGGCGGGCCTGATGAAAAGAGATGAGAAAAGTTTTTCGGCCTTGTATTGATGTGGAGAAGAAAAAGTGGTTTTTAGTGTTGACTTGGAGAAGAAAAAGTGGTTTTCTCTTGTGTTGACTTGGAGAAGAAGTGGTTTTCTCTTGTTTAGAGAAGAAGAAGTGGTTTTCTCTTGTGTTGACTTGAAGAAGAAGAAGTGGTTTTCTCTTGTGTTGACTTGAAGATGAAGAAGTGGTTTTCTCTTGTGTTGACTTGAAGAAGAAGTGGTTTTCTCTTGTATTGACTTGGAGAAGAAGAAGTGGTTTTCTCTTGTGTTGACTTGGAGAAGAAGAAGTGGTTTTCTCTTGTATTGACTTGGAGAAGAAGAAGTGGTTGTCTCTTGTGTTGACTTGGAGAAGAAGTGGTTGTCTCTTGTGTTGACTTGGAGAAGAAGAAGTGGTTTTCTCTTGTGTTGACTTGGAGAAGAAGTGGTTTTCTCTTGTTTAGAGAAGAAGAAGTGGTTTTCTCTTGTGTTGACTTGAAGAAGAAGAAGTTGTTGTCTCTTGTGTTGACTTGGAGAAGAAGTGGTTGTCTCTTGTGTTGACTTGGAGAAGAAGAAGTGGTTTTCTCTTGTGTTGACTTGGAGAAGAAGTGGTTTTCTCTTGTTTAGAGAAGAAGAAGTAGTTTTCTCTTGTGTTGACTTGGAGAAGAAGTGGTTTTCTCTTGTGTTGACTTGGAGACGAAGAAGTGGTTTTCTCTTGTGGACTTGGAGAAAAAGAAGTGGTTTTCTCTTGTATTGACTTGGAGAAGAAGAAGTGGTTTTCTCTTGTGTTGACTTGGAGAAGAAGAAGTAGTTTTCTCTTGTATTGACTTGGAGAAGAAGTGGTTTTCTCTTGTGTTGACTTGGAGAAGAAGAAGTGGTTTTCTCTTGTGTTGACTTGGAGAAGAAGTAGTCTTCTCTTGTATTGACTTGGAGAAGAAGTGGTTTTCTCTTGTGTTGACTTGGAGAAGAAGAAGTGGTTTTCTCTTGTGTTGACTTGGAGAAAAAGAAGTGGTTTTCTCTTGTATTGACTTGGAGAAGAAGAAGTGGTTTTCTCTTGTATTGACTTGGAGAAGAAGTGGTTTTCTCTTGTATTGACTTGGAGAAGAAGTGGTTTTCTCTTATATTGACTTGGAGAAGAAGTGGTTTTCTCTTGTGTTGACTTGGAGAAAAAGAAGAAGTTTTCTCTAGTGTTGACTTGGAGAAGAAAAAGTGGTTTTTCTCTTGTGTTGACTTGGAGAAGAAGTGGATTTTTGGGGGTCCTGTGTGAACTTCATAATTAATCCAAGAAATAAACAGAAAGACATGATAGCAAACCTGGGCGTACCCTGGTAAAACAGGCAGTTGCTTTTGAGAGTGGTTGAATGTGTGCTTCTGTTATAAAGGATTCACTTGTTTATTTAATTGTTAGAGGAGTGGTTGGCTGAGCAGTTACAAAGTCGGGCTGTCACGCGGGAAACCCAGATTCGACCCTTGGTAAGGCGATGGAGTTTTATTATCGGGGGGCAAAATAAACATGCTGACTTACACAGTCTGTGGCGACAGCACTAGCCAGGCAGCCCTAAATCCCCAGGCTCAAGGCCCCCCTGTCGACACCGCTCTAAAAAGTGGTGAAACAGGCCGAAGTGACAGTGACAGTTTAATTGTTACAGTAGTCTACACCTGAAAAGATACAGATTAAATTTATCAGTAATATTACTCTGTGTTTCAATGTTTCTCTGCTATTGACTGTCACTTGTATTAACTTAAAAAAAAATGTTTATTTTAATATTTCTATTATATTGTCTGACATTGTTAAAGAAGTAAGAGGTGGAGAAGAGTATGAGGAGGAAAGGAGTAGGAAGACGATGAGAAGGACAAAAGGAAGAGATTTAGCCAAGTTAGTATTAATATGTACAAGTAAAGTCAATGCAAGAACACAGCTTAGCTTTGTTTGACAAATGTTCCAGGGTCCAGTGGAAGCCGTGGAGCCAACGGTTCCTAGTGCTCATGTTGCTTACTTGCCATGGGATATCTCTGTAAGTTTCTGTTGTGTTGGTTTTGTTTATCTTCTTTTGTATTGTTAAAAAAAATATTATCTTGTATTATATTTTTTTAAAAATAGTTGATCTTCTCTTCTATTGTCATTGTTTATGTTGATCTTTTTGATTGTCTTTGTTTATGTTTATCTTCTCTTGTATTTCTTTGTTTATGTTTATTCGAACATTTCTGTGAGTTTCTGTTGTAATGACTTTTTTAACAATGTTTTTGTTAATGTTTCAGTAGTTTTTGTGTGTCTCTTGTATTGACTTTTTTAAATAATGTTAATTTGTGTAGTGTTTCTCTCTTGTCACATGTATTGAATTTTTAGAAATTGCTATCTTAATATTTCCATTAATGTTTCTTGCATTGACTTTGCTAATAATCTTTATCAGGATACTTCTATGAATTTATCTTGTAATCACTTTTAAATGTCTCAGTCCTACCTATTTATGGTTGTAGAACCCCATGGTAACAGATTTAAGTAATCTGTGATATCATTTACCCAAAAAAATCCTCTTATATTTAGAATGCATTCCTTTTTTGTGATTCTGGTATTTATAAATTATCACAGTTTTTGTGTGCATGACTATTAAAAATTATCAAGAAAGGATATAAAACCGAATAAAAAGTATATCAGCAAGCTTCACAAATAACAAACAAAACGGGAACATTGCGGCTATGGAGCTTTCATCAGCACATAAAAAATAAAACAGTACCACGCAAATACACAAAATCACTAAGTTTAGTATCTCGAAGTGGCCAGGTTGATGTCTTGCCAGTAGACTGGCAAGGCATGTGGGACCGGAAAATAAATATCCCAAGGGAATTCCAGGGGCCATAACTGGAGGGTTTTAGATAAAACTGTGGTCAGTTCAGCCCCTCAGATTTTAGATGAAACTGTAGGCTGTTCAGTCCTCTACTAATATAGGTATTATACTATACTATAGATGATTTAATTATGGTTTCCGTGGCAGACCCTAAGAAGTAAGAGAGGTCTGCATGTTTTAGAAAACTAGCAAAACTGGTGGTCCTCTTCTTTTTCTCCTTCTTCTTAGTGTTCACTGGCTGTAAACTGATGGAAAGTTCTGGTTGTTCATCCACTTCTGGACTTTGGTCTTGCTCTAGAATTTGAGGGTTGCGTGCACTTCCATTTGAAAAATCTGGCTTACTTGTGTGCAGATTGTTGGTTCCTCACCTCTCAGGCAGAAGTACTTTGACTTAGAAAATTTGTCTCTATATGTTTTTTTGGTCTGCCTTTATTTCTGTGCCCCTGTAAGTTTCAGTGCAAAGATATTCTAGTTACATTGTTCTCCAGTTTTCACAGCATTTGTTCTATCCAGTGACAGCATCTTTCTTCACCTCTTGATCCACTTTAATTTTAGTTCTCTGCCAAAGCTCGACATTAGTGATTCTATCAAACAATTTAATTCCCTCTATTCTGCGCAGTCACCAGTCAATGAAAGTTTGCATTTATTAGTAATTCATAAACACATTGATTTGTGTACGCATTAACTGTTTTTTTTGCAGCTAGTGATTCTATCATACCATTTAATTCCCTCTATTCTGCACAGTCACCAGTTAATAAAAGTTTACATTTATTAGTAATTCATAAACACATTGATTTGTGTACGCATAAACTGTTTTTTTTTTTTGCAGCTAGTGATTCTATCATACCATTTAATTCCCTCTATTCTGCACAGTCGCCAGTTAATGAAAGTTTGCATTTATTAGTAATTCATAAACACATTGATTTGTGTATGCATTAACTGTTTTTTTTTTGCAGCTAGTGATTCTATCATACCATTTAATTCTCTCTATTCTGCACAGTCACCAGTTAATGAAAGTTTGCATTTATTAGTAATTCATAAACACATTGATTTGTGTAGGCATTAACTGTTTTTTTTTTTTTTTGCAGCTGTCCGAGAAATCAAAATACGACAAAGTGTTTGACAGCCTACAGCCTGTAAATAATATGCTTGCTGGAGATAAGGTTAAACCTGTAAGTATCAGTTGTCCATTTATGTGTTCTTCTTCTTCTTCTTTCATTCGTTTAAGTAAGTTGACTGTATCTGCAATTTTGTCTGTCCTGTTCATTTCACTGCCTTTTTGTAAAATTCATGCGTTGTAAATATTCTGTTTGTGTTGTGTAGTTTAGCTGTTAGATATGTAGTGACAGAACTTTTGGTTTTTGTAGGTCAGATCCTTGATGGCTGCTGTGGCAACAGGTTTTGTGATTTGTGCAGTTAAGCCATTAGATTCATGCACACTCTGTTTTTATTTTTTTCAATTGAAAAAAAAAAATCGCTCGGAGTTGCTAAAGCTTTGAATTGTGCACTTCTGTTTAGTTTAGAAATTAAGAAAAAAGTGCAATATTAAATTTCTAAAATGAAGAAAGATCACTTTAATAAATTGATTAATGATAAAACAAACAGTCCTGACATTGAAAGCTATAAACACGCTAACCAACAAGAAACCTCCTTCATCTCAGGCAATACCTAATTCTCTAACATGTGAAGAGCTCATCTCCTATTTTAAATCAGAAATTAACAAAGTCCTCAGTACCAGACTCACAGTGTGACTTAAGCCTGCTGGCAACTTTCTGTGAGGAAAAATGCACCACCACTATTCCTCCTGAACAATCATTAGTGACTCCTTAAAGTTCATATTATAATCAGTGCCTTGCTAAGAACTACTTTCCATCAGCATTTAAAATTGCTGTCCGATAGACAGCAAGTAGTATTATTCAATAACTGTCTGTCAAAATCCACTTGATTAAATATAAGCGTGCCCCAGGGATCTATTCTAGGTCCACTACTTTTTGCCGCGTATATTAACGACCTTCCATTACATCTCAATATAATATGCAATCTATTTGCTGACGACTGCACAATATAAACTAATGAATTAGGAAGTTCTTTACATTAAGAAATAGGTATTCTTTTCAAATGGAACAATAGCAATCACACGCAAGTCAACATAAACAAAACTAAATCTATGCTTGTAACAATCAAAGTTACAAACATTAGTACTGCACAAGGTGTGTATGATATATATGTATGTCGGTATATGTGACATATATTATGTCTGATATGTGTTTGTGTCTGCGTAGGTGTGTGTGTGTCTCTGCATATGTCTCGGCAACGGCTGAATTCTCTACAAAATAGGGCCTTACGCCTAGTTTCCGATAGAAACTACGTTGAGAAAAATCTTTTATATGGACATCTAAGGCTTCTGCCATTTAGTAAACGTTTTAATTTTTTAATAGGCAAAATTTATTCACAAAATCCTATCTAAAGATACTCAAATTACATAGACCGATTATTCAATCTAATCCTAAGAATAGCAAGCGACTAGGTTTTATTACATTTGGCCTAAACCCAGAATTGATTTATTTAAAACAAGTCTAGCATATTGTGCTGCTCATTTTTTGGAACCATCTTCCACCCGATCTGAAAACACAAAAAAGTCAACTCATTTAACCGCAAACTCTTTCATTTCATGATTATCAGTGATTTCATGCCACCTTAAATGTAGTTAATAATCACAATGCATTACTAGTTATAATTAATTGCAGTACTGCATGCAATATGTGTGACATGCTGGCGTAGGCATATGTGTGTATATGATTCTGTGTATGCATGGGTAACTGTATACGTTTGTGTGTGTATCTGTGTGTATATGTTTTGGTGTCTGGGTGCGTGTCTGTGTGGTCTGTCTGCGTGTCAGTGTGTGTTTGTGTCTGTGTGTGTGTGTTTTTATGTCTATCTGTATGTGTGGCTGCGTGTGTGTCTGTGTGTGTTGATTGTATGTGGATATGTGCTGGGGGTGGCCGTTGTCTGTGTGTGTGTGTCTGTCTGTTTGTGTGTATCTATGCTGTGTCTGTTTGGTGTTTTTTGTGCGTGTCTGTGTGTCTATGCCTGCGGTGCCTGTGGCTGTGTGTTTCTCTGTGTGTTGTTTCGTGTGTATTTGTATGTTCATGTTTGTGTGTGTCTGTGTGTTGCATGTGCGTGTCTGTGCGAGTATTTGTGTGTGTGTGTGTGTTTGTAGTGTTTGTGTGTTCTGTGTGTGTGTGTGTTTTGTGTCTTTAGGTGTGTATGGCTGCATGTGTATATGTGTCTGTCTGTGGCTGTGCGTGGCTTTGTGTGTATCTGTGTGAGTCTCTTTTTCTTGTGTTATGTCTGCTTGTGTCTCTGTGTGTCTGTTTGGGCGTATGTCTGACTGTGCGTGTCTTGTGTGTATATCTTTGTTGTGTGGGTGTTGCGTATGTCAATGTCTGTGTCTGTTTTTTTTTCTGCCTGCGTGTGTGTATGTGTCCCCGTATGTGTGTGTGTCTTGTCTGTTTGTGTCTGGATTTGTATGCGTTGTGTGTTTTTTTTTTTGTGTTTGTGTATGTATGTATGTTATGTATGTGTATGTATGTGTGTTTTGTTTTTTACGTATGTATGATGTGTTGTAGTATGTATGTATGTGTGTATTAGTGTTTTGTATGCATGTATGTGTATGTTGTGTATGTATTGTATTATTTGAGTTTGTTTATGTATGTGTGTGTGTGTGTATGTATGTATGATGTATGTTGTGTATGTATGTATGTGTGTATGTATGTATGTTGTTGTATGTATGTGTATGTGTATGTATGTATGTCTGTTTATTGTTATGTGTATGTTATGCTGTTGTATGTAGTATGTATGTGTGTGTATTTGTGTTGTATGTATGTATGTTGTATGTATGTATGTATGTATTTATGTTGTTGTTTGTATGTAGTATGTTATGTATGTATGTATGTATGTGTGGTGTGTGTGTATGTATGTTGTGTATGTATGTGTGTGTGTGTGTTTTGTTTGTATATGTATGTCGTGTTAGTGCCTATATTTTTGTGTGTAAGTGATGTCATTATGTGTGTGTTGTGTGTGTATGTGTTCGTCGCGTTAGTGAGTGTGTATGCGTACATATTTTACCAGCCATGCTTTTGTTTTTTGACTTCATATATATAATATTGCATATTATGAATATAACATGCTTAATTGATGAAATACAACTGTGTGTGAAATGCCCTTGGAAGGGCCGAATGTGTGGACAGGCCTGCGTGCCTAATTTGTAACCCTTTGAAAATTAAATGTTTGTTCGTTCGTTCGTTCGTTCGTTCGTTCTGTGTGTGTATATACATATATGTGTGTGCATGTCTGTGTTTGTCTGCTTGTGTGTGTGTGTGTCTGCTTGTGTGTGTGTGTGTGTGTGTGTGTGAGGGTATATGTCTGTGTGTATGTATGTCTGTGTTTGTCTGCGTGTGTGTGTGTGTATGCCTGTATGTGTGCATCTGTGTGTGTGTGTGTGTGTGTGTGTGTGTGTGTGTGTCTCACTCTCTATGTGTGTGTGTCTCTGTGTATGTGTTTGTACGTGTATGTGTCAATGTGTGTTTGTCTATATCGATATGTGTTTGTCTGTGTGTGTTTGTCTGCATGTTTGTGTATGTGTGTGTCTGTGGTTCTTTATGTGTGTCTGCGTGTGTCTGTGTATATATGTGTGTGTATATGTGTGTATGTCTGCGTGTTTGTCTGTATATATGTTTGTGTGCTTGTGTGGGTGTCAGTGTGTATATGTCTGTAAATGTGTGTGCGGGTGTGTTTGTATGTCTGTGTATATGCCTGTAATTGAATGTTGATTTGTGTGTCTCTGTGTGTATGCCTCTGTGTGTTTGTGTATATGTGTGTGTGTGTTTGTGTGTGTGTTTGTGTCTACATGTATATGTCAGTTTGTGTTTGTCTGTGTGTGTGTTTGTCTGTGTGCATCTCTGTGTGTCTTTATGCATCTCTGTGTGTCTGTGTGTCTTTATGTGTCTCTGTATGTGTTTGCGTGTGTATATGTCTGTAAATGTGTGTGCGGATATGTGTGTGTGTCTGTGTATATGCCTGTATTTGAATGTTGATGTGTGTGTCTCTGTGTGTGTGCCTCTGTGTGTTTGTGTATGTGTGTGAGTATGTGTCTACATGTATATTGTCAGTGTGTGTTTGTCTGTGTGCATCTCTGTGTGTCTGTGTGTCTTTATGTGTCTCTATTTGTGTCTGCGTGTGTATTTTTTATATGTGTCTGTGTGTGTATCTGTGTGCATCTGCATGTTTGTCTGTGTATATGTTTTTCTGTGTGTGTCTGCATGTGTGGGTGTCTGTGTATATATGTGAATATGTGGTGTGTGTGTGTCAGTCTGCGTGTATGTCTGTGTATGTCTCTGGGTGCATGCCTATGTGTTTGTGTGTGTGCGGGTGTGCGTATGTCTATGTGTATATGCCTGTATGTGGCACAATTCCAATAGAAATCATCTTGCTGTCCAGGGTGAAGATGAGTGACAGGTGTGTGGCCACTGAAAATAATTACTGGTCAGGGAACAAGGGCTGTAACGCTAAGGTATTAAATAAAACTGTGTTGAGTGTTAAGTCCCCTAGGTGAGGTTGCACCCATGCATTGGATAAGGCTGTTCATGAGAAACATATATTTTCCTAAATATGTCTGTTCAAGCTGGTTATTAGCATAAATAATGTTCTGCTATTTTGTGAGCTTAAGGGCCAGATTAAATAATAACGTTACACCGGCCTAGTGGGTCATACAGATTGCCGGTTATGATCATCTTGTCATGTGGTTCATGAACCCAGGTACTGATGAATTCCAAGTTGCCGGTGGATGTTCTGGGTCGAATCTGGGACATGAGTGACATAGACAAGGATGGCTATCTGGACAGGGATGAATTTGCTGTGGTATGTTCGTTCTTCCTCTTAATTTTCTATCACTTATTCGCTTAGTATTTAGGGGCCACGTTAGCGCATTCGATAGGAGACTCGCTTTCAAATCCAGCTGTGACTCGCTGCAGCACACAGCTGGTGTTTGAAACCAGGCGGTTCTGGGGTCCACCCAGCCACTAGGAAATGTTAACAGAGTTAACATTCTGGGGTAAATGGAGAAATGACGCTGTAGCTACAGAGTTGCATGCGGTCAGCGACACAGGCAGACAGTTTCTTATCAGCTGTCGGTACTGGTGGCAGAGCATTTATAGTTTATAACCGTGTGCAATGATGCTGGTTCACATCTCCCGACTTTACCTTTACCTTTTTTATCACTTATTCATGTAACTGTATGCATGGGAACCGGGTAGCAGAGTAGGTTTTGACCCTTCTGGCTCAAAAGTCTTGAGTTTAAATCCTCGCTGAGGCAGTTTTTGTGGTTGCAGAATTCACCTTCCAAGGGGTTTAAGCTAGTGAGTGCGATGTTGACCAAATCACCCATGAAAGGCTGATTGATTTGTGAAAATATAAGTCTAGTATCATATCCCTTGAGCAATCAGGAATTTAGGAGGACTTTTGGTCAACATAATTTCCACCAGGGCTGATCATATAGCAGGACATTCTGCTAGGATCTTCACTCATGGTCCAAATGAGTTTTCAATAGACGTTATTAACAGTGCACTGAGGCTGGGCTGATGAAAGCCAGAGGTTTTCTGGACACTGGGAGCAGCTAACTCGGAAATCCCCTATTTTGCCTCATGCCTGTGAATATAATTTTTCGGTACTGGATATATATGTTTGTCACTTACTTTTTAATATTGTTTAGATTAGCTATTAATTGTTGTAGATTGTAGGTGTTTAGAATGTGAAGTTTAATGCATTTTAAGTGTACTTCTTAAATAACTGTGATAATCATATTATGTAATTTATCTTTAAGAATATTTAAATGATCTGGGTTGTCATTATTCATTCTTAGCATTGGATATATTATCACCTTGTATGAAAACCTTTGTTCTTGTGATACATTGTGTAATTCTTCTTTAAGATAGTTTCTGAAACTTCATGTTTTTCATAGGCCATGCACCTAGTGTACCAGGCTCGTGAAGGTCAAGAAATCCCCGGCATTCTCCGGCCCGGCTTGGTGCCTCCGTCTAAACGAAAAGGAGCTGGACTTGGAGGTGTAGTTCCTCCAATGCCAGGAGCTGTCCCTGTCTTACCAATGATAATCCCAGCATCTCTGCCGAGTGTAGGAGCCTTAGGCAGGGCTACTCCCACTGCAGGATTCACAGTGGTATGTTTGTGCTTCTTCCAAGAGAACAGCTGCGCATTATGTATAAGTGTTGCTGTTGATCTGTAACTCTTTCAGGACTGGACAGTTATTACTTTCACTTATTCCATTCCATTTCACTTATTTCACAGACTGAAAAGAGAATTAGACGTGTGCAGGCTTGATAAATTTGGGCGAGGAGAGGAGCGGGTCAAAATGTCTGAAAAATCAGGCTTTTGTAGGGTTCTAATTACATTAAGTCGTAAGTGCAGGGACTGGCCAGCTGTTGCTGCAGAATCAGTTCAACAAATGATTCATGACAATTCTCGCAAAGGGGATGTGGTTATCTATAAGGATGGCTCTGTGTTGAGAGGCAGGCAAAGTGTTTGGGAATTTATAGCAAAAGCGAGTGGATATCAGTTAGTGCAACAAAGCCTGGCACCCGATACCTCGACATATAATTTGAGAATGGTGATAGAGGCAGTCACTGCTGCCTTCTGCTAGTTTGAGAATCAGCTGTACACGCATGTTGTAACTGACTCGCAGAGTGTGTTGAGAAAGGTGGAGATAGGTATGCTCTATGCTGAGTGGTAAGCATTGTTTCAGAGGTCATGTAGTTGGCGTCCTTTGGATATTTTCTCCACTTGATGCCAGTGTGATGGGAAATGAACAGGCAAATAGATTGGCTGGTTCTGCACCAGTTGGGGGTAAATTTATGCCCGCCAAGCTAGATGTTGTGAGGGCTCTTTAGGAGCGAGTAAACAGTGCTGCTACTGCACAAATAGACATGGTGCAGCCTGGAGTGACCCGGGACGCTGGCTGATGCGAAACATTCAGGGAACGTGGGAGATGGACATACAGCCAGACTCTTACTGGCACCATCGGAATTGGAACTTTGCCCTTGCTGCTGAAGATAGGGATAGAGCGCTAAAGGAAGTGTCCAGAGTGCTGTCATGTCGGTGCTTAACTCATTTCATTTAAAGCGGCTGTACTTTTTCTACCCTTATCCTTTGATGTAGCATATGCCCTCAACCAACTTCTACCCTTTATCCTCTGATGGAACATTTGCCCTCAACCAACTCCTACCCTTTATCCTCTGATGGAACATATGCCCTCAACCAACTTCTACCCTTTACCCTCTGATGGAACATATGCCCTCAACTAACTCCTACCCTTTATCCTCTGATCGAACATATGCCCTCAACCAACTTCTACCCTTTATCCTCTGATAGAACATATGCCCTCAACCAACTTCTCCCCTTTATCCTCTGATGGAACATATGCCCTCAACCAACTTCTCCCCTTTATCCTCTGATGGAACATATGCCCTCAACCAACTTCTCCCCTTTATCCTCTGATGGAACATATGCCCTCAACCAACTTCTCCCCTTTATCCTCTGATGGAACATATGCCCTCAACCAACTTCTCCCCTTTATCCTCTGATGGAACATATGCCCTCAACCAACTCCTACCTTTTATCCTCTGCTGGAACATATGCCCTCAACCAACTCCTACCCTTTATCCTCTGCTGGAGCATATGCCCTCAACCAACTTCTACCCTTTATCCTCTGATGAAACATATGCCCTCAACCAACTCCTACCCTTTATCCTCTGATGGAACATATGCCCTCAACCAACTTCTACCCTTTATCCTCTGATGGAACATATGCCCCCAACTAACTCCTACCCTTTATCCTCTTATGGAACATATGCCCTCAACCAACTTCTACCCTTTACCCTCTGATGGAACATATGCCCTCAACTAACTCCTACCCTTTATCCTCTGATCGAACATATGCCCTCAACCAACTTCTACCCTTTATCCTCTGATAGAACATATGCCCTCAACCAACTTCTCCCCTTTATCCTCTGATGGAACATATGCCCTCAACCAACTTCTCCCCTTTATCCTCTGATGGAACATATGCCCTCAACCAACTTCTCCCCTTTATCCTCTGATGGAACATATGCCCTCAACCAACTTCTCCCCTTTATCCTCTGATGGAACATATGCCCTCAACCAACTTCTCCCCTTTATCCTCTGATGGAACATATGCCCTCAACCAACTCCTACCTTTTATCCTCTGCTGGAACATATGCCCTCAACCAACTCCTACCCTTTATCCTCTGCTGGAGCATATGCCCTCAACCAACTTCTACCCTTTATCCTCTGATGAAACATATGCCCTCAACCAACTCCTACCCTTTATCCTCTGATGGAACATATGCCCTCAACCAACTTCTACCCTTTATCCTCTGATGGAACATATGCCCCCAACTAACTCCTACCCTTTATCCTCTTATGGAACATATGCCCTCAACCAATTTCTACCCTTTATCCTCTGATGGAACATATGCCCCCAACCAACTTCTCCCCTTTATCCTCTGATGGAACATATGCCCTCAACCAACTTCTCCCCTTTATCCTCTGATGGAACATATGCCCTCAACCAACTCCTACCTTTTATCCTCTGCTGGAGCGTATGCCCTCAACCAACTCCTTCCTTTTATCCTCTGCTGGAGCATATGCCCTCAACCAACTCCTCACCTTTATCCTCTGATGGAGCATATGCCCTCAACCAACTTCTCCCCTTTATCCTCTGATGGAGAATATGCCCTCAACCAACTTCTCCCCTTTATCCTCTGATGGAGCATATGCCCTCAACCAACTTCTCCCCTTTATCCTCTGATGGAGCATATGCCCTCAACCAACTTCTCCCCCTTATCTTCTGATGGAGCATATGCCCTCAGCCAACTTCTACCCTTCATCCTCTGATGGAACATATGCCCTCAACCAACTCCTACCTTTTATTCTCTGCTGGAGCATATGCCCTCAGCCAACTTCTACCCTTCATCCTCTGATGGAGCATATGCCCTTAACCAACTCCTACCCTTTATCCTCTGCTGGAGCATATGCCCTCAACCAACTTCTGCTTATTTGTCCTGTCTTTTGCTGTTGTGTGTCTCACTCCATGTTCTCATCTGTTTCACTCCACTCTAACTTACTTTTCTATGTGTGTTTTTGTTATGCCTTTTTTCCTTTGACTGTGAGTTCCAGCATTGCTTTAAATTAATACATTTAGGCTTACAGCAGTTACAATAGCAACTGTTAGTTAACATAACCACATTGCGCGTGGGAAATTAAGGAAGGTATTTTGTGAAGTAGTTTACCAATACATGCTTGGTGAGTCGCTTGATGCTGATTGAGCTAACAACTTACCGGGGTAATGTTGCAAAGTTCCATAGTGTGCCAACCTAAGATCAACATAAAAAAAAAAAAAAAACAATAAAAGTTTGTTAATCTATGAAAGAATTCTATGTTAATTGTCATGCTAGAAAGGTCCCCGTGTGGGTTCTGGGGCTTCATTGTGGGGGAAACAAGAATAGATCCATTGCCTTCTCAAAAGCATGTCGTATGAATCAACTAATTGGGAGCTTCCTTTGAAGTAGGTGTACATCTGCCTGAGAGGCAAGGAACTAACAGTCAGCATCCAGATGAGTCAGACCTGTGAAATGGATGTGCACACAGCACTCAGTTTCTGGAACAGTACTAGAGTCAAGAAGTGGACGAACAACCAGAACTTTCTGCCTGAGTTTAAAGCTGCTGAACGCGAAGAAGATGTTAGAAAGGGTGAAGAAGAAGAAGAAGAAGAAGAAAGATCATGTTAAACATTTTAGTTAGAATGTATTTTTCAATCTTATCATCCATTCTTCCACCTGTTTATCCATACTTGCATCTATCCATCCTTCCACTTATCATCAATCATACCAGCCATCCATGCTTCCACCGGTTTATCTACACATTAATTTTTTATTTTGATCTACACAATAATTTTTCTGACAGCCTCAAGTGTCCTGGGTCGTCACCCCAGCAGATAAAGCCAATTCTGACATGATCTTCAACAAGCTGGACACAGATCGTGATGGACTGGTCAGTGGTGTTGAAATCAGAGATGTTATGGCACAGAGTGGATTACCAACCACGGTTCTAGCTCACATTTGGTAAGACTCCATCTGAATTCCTATTTTAACTCTTAATCAACCAAATAATGATCTGAACTACTAGATTAACATAGAAAGGGTTCCTAACTGTCAATCCCAAGTGGTCGTTAGTTTAACACCTTCGACTCCAAAGTGTTTAACTTAGGAGCAGTGAATAATTTGGCCCTGAGTTCAGCATAGACGCCATGGAACGTCAGAAGTTAAAACTAGTAATCTAGAGAATAAGGAATGTTATAACATTGTCCTGTGACGGAAAAGGTTAAAGGTTATAGTTGAGTGGATCAACTTCATTACACTGGGTTTTATCCCATATGGCTTGATCTCTCTCTGCGGAATGACTGCCAAGAGCGCCGCACAGTGCACAAACTCCGTAGCTTTGACGATGATCCCCAAGGATCTCTGTTAAAATTGCACTCGTGAACTGAAAGTGCAGCCATGAAATGAACACATGACCTTCAGAGCACGAGGCAAACAGCTTAACCTCTTCACCACAGAGACCCTGGTAACTGATATTATCTTTAAATTGATCCAGAAAGGCTTAGTGAGTTGTTTGCAACTGAAAGAGTTCTGAGCTGTATAGAGTTAGAGTTTGCAACTGAAAGAGTTAAGAGCTGTATAGAGTTACTCCTTATGAATGTAAATTTAGTCATGGATAGTCAGCCGATTCATGAAGAAAATGTAGAAGCTGCAGAGATGTGATGTTGTAGATTAATGATGAGAACAAAATGGACATATAACAAGCATAATGAAGATTTAAAACTCTTTTAAAAACAATACTTAAGGGAAATTTCCAAGGCAAGAGACCAAAAGGTAGACAATGATAAAAGTGAGAGGACAACATCAAGAAAATTGCGAACAGCAGTCTGAGAGCATGATAATTTTTGAGATCCATTCATTGTGGAGATGGCACCTCACTGGTTGAATGGAGATTTTCTTGAAGAAATAAATTCACAAAAAGAACTAATTTCTGGCATTCTTTGGTAACATCGTGAGAAAGGGACAAACCAGAGTACTTTCCTGACAACAAGAAAGTTGGATGGAAAGAGAGGCAGCGAGAAAAGATGCTGGAATTTGGCATATGACATGAAAGAAAATTTTTCCCTGAGTTATTTCAAGGTGCACGAGACAGTTTGGCATATGGTATGAAAGAACATCTTTCCCTGAGTTAGTTCAAGGTGCACGAGACAGAAACATGAATCGAAAAAATTACTTATGCCACATAACATAGACTATAAGAAGTTGAAGCTTACAGCATGACCTTACCATGACTTTTTTGCAAACTAACCCCAATACTTTTTGGCTGTTTGTGGTTTTACTGAGCAACTTTACATTCAGGGGTTTTGATATTGTTTTCTAAATGGTTCTGTCAGACTGCCAATTACCACCTGTATTTACCTCTTTTGTGGTGTAGGGAAAAAAAGGTGAGGGGGGAGGGGGGGGGGGGTCTTTGAGCCTGATAATTCAGGGCAGCAGGACCCTAAAGGGGTCTACACTTGTCAAAGTGGGCACTGAGCTGTCTGCTGCCAAATTGCTTGTCGAAATCAGTGAAAAGCAGTATGCTGCTAAATCATTTGCAGCTGACTTTGAACCCTGGTATGTCAGAATTATTAAACTGCTTTCTCAACCTAGCCGCCTGCTGAGAGCGCTGTGCAGAGAACGAACTCCCTACCTCTGGTGACGATCCCCAAGAATGATTGCCTGGAAATGGCTAATGAAAGTAGAACATTATATACAACAATGAGAAGGAGATAAAGTTCTTAGGTCATGTGATGAGAAAAGGAGCACTGAAAAATATCGGGGTGACCGGAAAGATCACTGGTAAAAGAGGCAGAGGCAGACGAAGGAAAATGATGGTGGATGGCTTGAGACAGGGGCATGCAATATAAATATCAGTTGAATTGATCCAGAACACCAAAGAGATCTGTGAAGTAGCATGAACGCCTACACCAGCTGACAATGCACTTGATGATGATGATGATGATTCTGAACCTGGGTATAATATAAAATGTTGATAAAATAAGTCTTTTTGTCTTGTTCTGGACACATCATTGATTGAGCTATCTCATATTTTTCATATCCTCTTTAGGGGCCTGTGTGACAGTCAGTCACTAGGAAAACTCACAGCAGAACAGTTTGCACTAGCCATGTATCTCATTCAGCAGAAGCTGAAAGGTATAGACCCTCCTTTACAGCTGACTCCAGACATGATACCTCCGTCTTTAAGATCTATAGCAGATCCCGGGGCATTTGGTGTCCAGGTATGGTCTTTATCCGTAGGAAGTTTGTCTGTGACTTGTTTTCTAGTGGACTCGCAGAGCATGCTTCCGAAAATTGAAACGAGCATCTTACATTTAGAATGGCTTACATTGCTTGATAAGACTTACACCAGGAGCGTATCATGGATTTTCTGTCCAGGACTTTCAGGTGTGTGGGGTAACGAGCAGGCTATAGATTGGCTGCTGCCGCTTCTCTGGGCTGTGAGCTACTTTATGGTAAGAAAGCAAAGTAAAAAAAAAAAAAAATTTAAAGGTCCCTTTTCCATGCCTATAGGCATATAGGGCTAGACCTGTATTTTTATAGACCAATCGGCACAAGATGGGTGATGTGGTCAGCATCACGCCGGCCACCTTTACTTCCCGGGACTGCATCCGGTACCCACCCAAGGCTGGGTCAACCTGGGAGTCAAGGTCGTTTTTGAAAAAAAAAACAAATTCAGCTCCGCCAGGGAGCAAACCCACGACCTTCTGATCCGCAGGCGAGCGTCTAGCTGCTACGCCACGTCGACTCCCTGATAAAGGAGCAGACCTGGTAAAGGCTCTTTGGGATCAAATGGACAGTGCAGAAGAACAGAATGAGAATTGATACACTGAAAGACTAAATCAACGGGGAGGGGGGGGTGAGTGGGGGTTCGGGAGCATACTCAACACTGAGGGGGAAACATAGGCAGACTTTAATCAGGTTGTAACTGGTACTGTTAGCATGTCCACTACACACTGGCTACTGAGGAAGGGGACGGAGCACTTATGGGAATTTCCCGAGTGCAGTGATGTTCATTCATTTATGGTTGTCTGTGGTTGTTGAAGAGGACTGTTTAGTTTACAGTCAGTCCCTAAGTTTCCTGTCTTGTTATGGGACCCACAAGGGCAGCAAAACAAATGATAAATGTTAACTAGCATGCAGTTTGTGAGGTGCCAGTCAGGGGAGTGGGCATGTGAAAGCTTTATTGCTTTAGCTGCATCACCGGGCATAAAATGCCCAATGTGCAATGATGTTGACTGTGATAACACAGCAACTTGTCTCATAGTTTCTACTGTCCAGACCTGTCGTGGATATTTCTTGGAGAGACCTCATATAAGTTATTTTGGGAATTATTGTTTGTAATTGTAACATTCATGTGTTCGTGATTTTGATAATGTGAAGCTGACTAGATCTGCTTCTTGTTTGGCTTGATATCTTTTTTTCTTAGTCATCTCCCACAGGATAGGTTTCAGTGTTACTAATGCTTCCCTCATAGATGCCAACCTTTCTTAGTCATCTCCTATGGGACACGTTTCAAGAATTACAAATGTTTTCCTCATGGATGCTAACCTTACTTAGTCATCTCCATCGGGATACGTTTAAAGTATTGATAATGCTTGTCTCAAAGGGCTTCCGTAAACAGACGGCCTTAACTCTGGTTCGCCACAAATTATTGCACTCAATGCTTTTATCAGTAATCTTCTTCACTATCCTCAGCCCTTGAGGTTTGTTGCTCCACTGTCTTCTTGGCCTGTCTCTTGGTCTACTCCCATTCAACTCTTTTATGCACACAATTGTCTTCTGGTGTCTGCCATTCTCTCTACACACCCCAGCCATTGCAGTCTCTTAGCTCTCATGATGCAACTAGTGATTAAAAACAGATTAGAAATGTCATTGTTGCTTCTACTTTTCAATCTTTGTGTTTCACATTTTTGGATGAGTCCAAAGATTTGTCATGAAACTCTACTCTCAAAAGTGTGTAATAATGCTTCACATGTTTGAGTTGTACTCCAGCTTTTAGAGCCATCTAGAACAATAGTGCTATTACTGATCATATTAACTATATAGAGCCGTACAGAACACTAGAGCTATTACTGATCATATTATCTATATAGAGCCGTACAGAACAATAGAGCTATTACTGATCATATTTATATAAAGCCATAGAACAATAGAGCTATTACTGATCAAATTTATATAAAGCCATAGAACAATAGAGCTATTACTGATCATATTATCTATATAGAGCCGTACAGAACACTAGAGCTATTACTGATCATATTATCTATATAGAGCCGTACAGAACAATAGAGCTATTACTGATCATATTTATATAAAGCCATAGAACAATAGAGCTATTACTGATCAAATTTATATAAAGCCATAGAACAATAGAGCTATTACTGATCATATTATCTATATAGAGCCGTTTGGAACACTAGAGCTATTACTGATCAAATGTTTTGTATATGGGGTGGGGGGGGGGGGGTGGGGGGGGGATGCCATAGAACAATAGTTTTTGAGCTGGCATTACAGATCAAATTTATATAAAGCCATAGAACAATAGAGCTATTACTGATCATATTATCTATATAGAGCCGTACAGAACACTAGAGCTATTACTGATCAAATTTATATAAAGCCATAGAACAATAGAGCTATTACTGATCATATTATCTATATAGAGCCGTACAGAACACTAGAGCTATTACTGATCATATTTATCTATATAAAGCTGTATAGAACAATAGAGCTATTACTGATCATATTATCTATCTAGAGCCGTACAGAAAAATAGTTCTATTACTGATCATGTTATCTATATAAAGCCGTACAGAAAAATAGTGCTATTACTAATCATATTATCTATACAACGCTAAAGCAGTTGATGTTACTAGTATTGTTCAGAATGAATTGATATTACAGGATGGAACTAACGCTGGACCCTACAGCCATGTGGCAGATTTCTCAGCTATCAGGGAGTTGGATCATATTAGTAAAGAAATTGAAGATATAAAAAAGTGAGTAGCAATGTGCCATTTGTCTTTGGATGAGTTTTATTCTTCTTTTAGATGAATATGCCTGTTTGGGTGAAGTAATTTTGGGTCAGCAGCGCTGAAGTGGAATGTTTTGTGTGTGGGGGGGGGGGGGGGGGGGGGGGGATGCGCCTCAAAGTTAACTTGAGTTTTGAGCTGACATCACAGCCCTCCGGACACTCCTCTTCTTCTTACAGCCATGCCATGTGGCATTGGTAGTCATGCCTGTGCACAGCCTTCTGTCTCCTGTACTTTAAATCCTTTCTGACACAGATGATCTTCCATGCCATGATGTCAAACTGGCCAGCATCTTCCTTCTGGGTCTCAATCTGCCTCTATTCTCCTCCAACTTTCCCAGCCTCATGATGTACTTCAGTTTTCTCCTTCTCATGGCACGACCAAAGAATGTAGATTGTCTCCCTCTAGATATGGGCAGTCAGTTAACTTCTTGAGGGACATTCCTCATAGAAATTAAATTTGAATAAACTTCTTTTGTGGAAACATTAAACTTTGATGTTGAAGATCTGGGAATAATAAAAAACAGACACTGGCAAAAAGAAACAGCTGAAAGAATTGACAACCAGGTTGGACCTTTTCAAAACAGTAAACAAGGTGTTAGACAGGGATATGTACCATTACTCGATTTATTCAGTTTGTACAGTGAAATAATGTCGGCTCTGTGGCTAAGTCGATGCGAACGCTTCGCAACATAATGCCGGGATGCCAGGTTCGATCCTAGCTGCGAGCAACGCGCCTTGCGTTGGTTTCGACAGTGGTATCAAAAAAGCCGACCGCCCAGAAAGCAATGGCAAACTACTGGATGTAAATTGCCTAGAGAAACCACACAACAGCCAGGGGCTGTTAGGTTTGGTTCTGCAACGCCCTGTAAAGGATACGCAACTAACTTAGCAGTGAAATAATAATTACATCCATACATAGTATACCAGGAATATCGATTGGTGGGCATTTTGTTAACAACCTGCGTTATGGTGACAGTATAGTTTTGACCGCTTAAAATGAAACACAACTGCAAGAAATTATGAACATAATTGTAACAGAAAGTCAAAACAGGGGTTTTAATTTGAACAGCAGAAAATTAGAAGTAATGTGAGTGCTGGTTCCTGAAATGAAGTACAGGGTATATCTTTATAGGCAGCACAGCAGCCCCAACCTTTCTTTATGCGTGTCACTAATATCCTCACATTACATCCATTTCACCAGTCTTTATCATTTTTATTTCTCTGGGTTTTCTTTTCCTGGTCAGTTTATTGTTCTTCATTTCATGTTGTCTAATTGTGATGCCAAAATTTTTCGCTGCCGCTTTTCTTTTTAAATTTCTCAATTTTAGTTCATTTCTGTCTTTTATGACCAGGTAAGACAAGGCACTGTTCTTACTGTTATGTTTATATTTTAATTTAACTGTTTTCTGTGATATAGTTTGTTATGTTAAGTTTTTTCCTTTGATTAGGAAAAGAAAATTTATTTTCTGTTCCTTTTTCAAACTTTACTAGAAATAGAGATGCAGGAAAATTAAGGAATCTGAGTGAGTGAGTGAAATGGCACCCCCACTAGGATTGCACACTGACACTCTGTGACACAAACTGCAGTGTGTCATTATTCAGACGAGAATCTCCCAGGTGCAAATCCCAGAAACCTTGTTCAATCATAAGATTATATTAGGGCCCCTGACGGTTACAAAGTAACCTGAAGTTCAGAAGGGTAGGGTGAATCATCTGTTTGATTCTAATTTGCTCAGATATTTGCTTTTGTTTTATACACTTGTTTCTGTGTTTTGTGAGGGTTTTTATGTAGGTAATATTTCAGTGTTTCAGTGAGATTTGTAGTTTGCATGATTTAGAGAGTCGATAGCGCAGTCGATAAGAGACTCACTTTTAAATCCAGCTGTGACTCGCTGCAGACCATGGCCGGTGTTCGAAACTGGGCGGTTCCCGGGGCTCACCCAGCCTCTAGGTACTGGGTACCAGGATTAACACTCTGGGGTAAATTTAGGAACATCGCTGTAGCTGCAGAGTTGCGTGCAGTCGGCAACACAGGCGGACAGTTTCTTATGAGCCGTCCGCACTGGTGGCAGAGCATTTATGGTTTATAACCGTGTGCAGTGACGCTGGTTCTCATCTCATGACTTTACCTTCCCGACTTTTTTCTATGAGAGTCATAACTTGACTGTTTAACTTTCTGAGAAAGTTAAATGTAAAATAAAAATAAAAAAACCATATTTTACAAGTAAATTTTTTTCAGAAGAGTGACTGCCCTGCGGTAATTCTAAAGTTAAAATTTGTGTGTGTGTTGTTTAATGACTTGTGACATAATGGGTAAATGATGCTAGCTCCATTTTTATATAGACCACTTATCACTTGATTGTTGAAATTGTCATTATTTTTGTAACTGTACTTTGTAGAATGTTAGGTAGGCAGATAGATGCTTTGCTGGAAAAATAAAATATTGTCATGTTCAACCAACATTTCCCGAAGGGGGAGCTTTAGGTTGTAATTGTGACCAGGTGTCATATAAAACCGCTTAGCAGTGCACGCGATTAAGAGCCCTGAAAAGGACTCCTGCTGTGTTGATGCGATCAAAGGAGACAGACCCAAATACTGTCATGACCGGCGACAGAGTCGTCTACTGGCAGGCCAATGGGCAATCTAGTCTCTGATGTATTCCCAGAATGTTTTCTAGTACCATATTTTAAAGGGCGCCGCTGTAGCTTGGTGCCTAGACTCTCGCCTTAAGGTCTAAGGTTAAAAACTAAATCATGATTTGTTCCCCCTTCAGACTTTGAGCGTGGTTTCCAGAATGACTTAGCCTAAATTGAGTTTTTGTCTTCTTCTTGTGTCTACTGTTTATGCTGTAAAAAGTTACAGAGAGGAGTTGGATATAGTTTCATGTCTTTTGCTTGTTTTTTTTTAGCTTTGTTAATGTCATATGGCGTTTCTGTAGTGTCTCTTTGGCTTTCTCCACCCACCTCTTTCTTGGTCGTCCTCTTAACGTGTTGCATGCTGTTCTCACGCTGTACGCTTTAGCTGCTGGCTGATTTTGTTTATTCCATTCTGGCCAGGTGACCAGATCATGTGATTCTTTGATGTTCTGGGAAATCATTTGTCCGTACGGTGTCTACCATTGTTCTTAGTTCTTCATTGGTGAATCTATCTCTTCTTGTTTTTCCTGTCACATTTCTTAAATATCTCATCTCTTCTTCTTCTGTTTCTTCTTCAGCATTCCGAGCCCTTGAGGTTCATTGCTGCAAATATCACCCGTCTCCATTCATCTCTCTGGTTGGCCCTTGGTCTGCCTCGTGGTCTACCACCATTCATGACATCTCATCTCACATGTTGTAATTCTGCATTTATGTTTTTCTAGGACTGTCCATGTCTGGCACTGATAGCGCAAAGTTGGTACAAATATTGCATCTGTCAGCTGCCTTTGTGTGTGCGTGTTGATAATTTAATGCCTTAAAAGTGGCACAGTTTAAATATTTTTTACTGTTGGCCTTCTGTATTCTGTTTTCTGGCCTGACATGGATACCTGGTTATATCCTGAGAAGTAGACTAGAGATGGCTGGCCAGATGTTGTCCATATCCTCCGTCAAGTGTTGATTGGTCTGTACAAACATAGGTCTGGCACTGTACGCCTGCTAGATCTATATTTGTACAGACAGGTCACACTATAGCACTATAGGTCTATCACTATACCCCTGCTAGACCTATATTTGTACAGATAGGTCACACTATAGCACTATAGGTCTATCACTATACCCCTGCTAGATCTATATTTGTACAGATAGGTCACACTATAGCACTATAGGTCTATCACTATACCCCTGCTAGATCTATATTTGTACAGATAGGTCACACTATAGCACTATAGGTCTAGCACTATACCCCTGCTAGATCTATATTTGTACAGATAGGTCAGACTATAGTCACACTATAGCACTATAGGTCTATCACTATACCCCTGCTAGATCTATATTTGTACAGATAGGTCACACTATAGCACTATAGGTCTATCACTATACGCCTGAGTCAATAAATTCAGATATCTGGCAACAATCATATCATCAGATGGAAAATGTGTGACAGAGATTAATAGCAGAATCGGTCAAGCGAAAGCTGCATTTCAGAAAATAAAAAATATCGTATGCCACAAATCGCTCTCATTTAATGTCAGAAAGAGGGTGCTAAAATGTTACATACAACCTGTTTTGCTGCATGGCAGCGAATCTTGGAATGTCAGTGAACATATTAAAAAGAATTTGGAAGCAACAGAGATGTGGTTTCTGAGACGAATGTTACAAATACATGGGACGGCCAAAGTAACTAACAACGATTGCTTGAAAGAAGCTAATGAAAGTAGATCTCTATATGCAGCAATAAGAAAGAGACAAACACTGTTGTTTGGCCATGTAATGAGAAGAGAGGCATTGAAAAACATCATGACAACTGGAAAGATCAGTAGAAAAAGGGGTAGAGGCAGACCAAGAGAGATAATGCTGGATGGGCTGAAACGATGGCATGGAGGGATATCATCAAGAGAACTGTTCCAGGCAACCAGGCATCCTGATCTGAGGAGATGCATGAACGCCTTTACCAATTGGCAGGGCACATAATGATGATGACTATACGCCTGATGCATGATAGGCATGAAAATGGTACTTTTACTAGTTTCACCATTTGAAAAAAGAAAAAAACTTATTCAGGAAATAACAACAGACATGTTGCAGAAGGTATTTGACAATGTGAGGAGACGTGTACAGTTATGTCTTGAAGCCAGCGGTGGACATTTTAGAGACCTGTTATAATTAATATTTCATTGGTACTTTCCAGATTTCCCTAAACAGTGTTAGACCATAGCAGTGACTTGTTAACTATTTATTGAAATTTTTGGCACAATTTTTTGATGACATCGTATACTTTGTCATCAGTACACATGTTGTTACCTACTACTAGATTTCACACATTGTGAAAATTGATGATGACATATGCCAGTTGACTACATATGTGATGTTGTACCTGTAGCATCATGGTCATAAATAACCCCTGTATTTTGCTGCTGGGAAAAAAAAAAAAACCTGCATTGCTACACATTCCCCTGTTAACGAAAGGAAAAACAATTTAAAAAAAAATATGTGCAGTATCTTGAGCACCAGCTGGGAAATGCCGAACAAACTTTATTTGCACAGGGTCAGAAATTGGGCACACAGGCCAGTCTTTTATACATTCACCTCTTCCAAACACTCATCTTTCACAGGGCAGTTGTATTGTACCTGCAAAAGCTATTTAATTGTATGATCTTAATCCCATTAAAGCGAGACTTAACTTGGACATTGCAGGGAAAAGCTTCTTCTTGAGAGAGATAAAGCTCAGCACGAGGCAGACATCAAGATCAGGCAGAGCGAGGTTTTGGTCTTACAGAAAGAGCTGGACTCTCTCACTGGAACTTTGGCTCAGCTGGATTCACAGAAGAAGGAGGCACAGAAAAGGCTGGATGAACTCGACGATAGGGTTTGTGATATTTCTTATATTTTTTTGGGGTAAAAGTAACGATCTTCCCACCCTCTGCCCATATACACACTAGGTCACTTTTGATTGGGAGCTCCTGAGCCCAGTGACCTTCGCACAAGGTTACGGGGGTGTTCTGTGATGCTGTTGATATCGCCTGTTGTATATTTCAACACGCCAGCACTTGTAATGCTCCAAAAACATGGAGCAACTGGTCCTAACACAAGCACCCTAGAGAATGCTGCAACCTATGTCACAGGCGTCTCTTTCTCAGAATGAAAATGTAAAGGCAAGACAACACAGAAAGCAAACAACAGAGCAGGACACACCTGTAACCTTCAGGAAAGTCGAGCAGCCCAACAAACTTGTGAATGAAAAGTGACCTACTTTGTTTGGGGAGATTTACGTGAACCTAACCTTTTATGGTATTGCTTGTTCCAATTTCTCCACTATTTAATTGCTAAACTATCCTTGTATGGCTTCTGGGGGTTTGTTTTGGAGACATAGAATAAGACCTAATGCACCCCTTAATAAGCATGTCACAGGAGGTGACTAACTAGGGGTGTTTCTTTTAAAGTCAGTTAAAAAAAAAAAGAAGTAAAGGACCCTTTTCCACGCCATCAGGCGTATAGGGCATATAGGGCTAGACCTATATTTTTATAGACCAATCGGCACAAGATGGTTGATGTGGTCAGCATCACGCCGGCCGCCTTTACTTTCCCGGGACTGCACCCGGTACCCACTCAAGGCCTGGGTCGACCTGGGAGCCAAGGTCATTTCTGAAAAAAGTCCGGCTCTGCCAGGGAGCGAACTCACGACCTTCCGATCCGCGACGAGCGTCTAGCCGCTTGGCCACGGCGACTCCCTAAAGTCAGAGTGCATCTGCCTAAGAGGCAAGGACCCGACCAAGTCTAGTTCTTGATCAAGACCAAAGTTTAGGAGTGGCTGAACAACAGAGCTTTCCGCCGAGTTTATAGCCGGTGAATGCTAAGTAGAAGAAGAATTACTCAACTACACATTTAATTATTTGAAAAAATTAAAAATGTATTAGTAACTGATAAATTATATTTGCAGATGTAAACAAGCAAATAAAAAATATTAAAGAAAAACAGATATAAAGGCATTATTTATCATTTGCTATAATGCATTCTGTGTTGTATAGTTGTTGTATTTGGCATAATGTAATCTGTCAATACTGTATCTGAGATCTGGATTACAGTTTCTCATTATATAATGACAGTTTGTATTAATATATTAACTGCATGTTATGTTGTTAAGTGCAGTGGCTTAGAGGTTTCCTAATTCTTAAGTACAAGAGTTCGAACACTGCAGTGGAAGGTTTCAGGGAAACAAAGACCACTTTTATGGTAATGCGACAGTGGTACGAGAGTCACATCATGGAAGAGATTAGGACATCGCCATGAAATATTTCTATGGACAGTAGTCAATGCAAGCAGCCAGTTTCCCTGTTGTGGAGGGCACACATTTATTATTTATTGTCTAGTTGTAATTGGATTTGTTGTTGTTTTCCATACAGTTGTAATTAATTGTCAGTGAATCTTCCACACAGCGTTCCAACTTAGAGAGAAATGTTCATGACCTCAGGGAAAAAGCAGACAGGGAACAAATGGAGGTAATTCTTGTAGAATTGTGCTTGCCCTTCACATTGTCTTGTGTGTGTGTGTGTGCTGTTCTCATGTTGTTGTACAGACAACAGTTTCAACTGTGAGGTCAGGTGATGAATAATTGTATAATTTTTTTTTTATAGTTTTTTTTATCTGAAAATTATCAGGTTGTATGTATTAAAAAAAAATGTTTTTCTGGGATAAATAAAGTTTAAAGCTTGAACAACGGATCAACAACATAGCACATGGATAGCAACCCATAAGTGCTCAGTTTTTCTTCTAACTCAATTCTGAGTCCCAAGAAGCTCAGCACAGTGCACAGGCTCTGTAGCACCAGCGAGGATCCTGAAATAATTTGTGAGTAAATTTTCAACTCCAAATTTTGCTCAGGCAGAGCCGTTAGGCTACTTTTTTCGGTTTTCAACTGCCAGATGATTTTTTAGGAGCGCAACAGTGCACACGGGCACAAAATTTCACTACCCAGAGACCAGGGGAAATACTAGAACTCGAAGTCGCAAGTGAAAAAATCCCAGCCCTTGCCGGGGATTGACCCAGAATCTTTAGCACCCGAGGCAGACACCGTGCCTTGAGACCACACAATTCCCCTAAGATGACAGATTAATGACAAGTTTGAATTCCCAGGCTTGCATATATACAGTTAAATATGTTTTTTTAAATATTAGGAAGTGAAGTTAATAAGATTAGAAAGCAACTGAAACATTGTTGGACGTATTGACTGAGCTGAGAGAATAATTATGGACCTACCACACTTCGTAATTTTACGGGCAGTTAAATACTTGTAACCAATTTCAGCACAAGATATAATATTTGTTTCATTTTTTTTTTCACTGCTGAATGTCAAAAAAACAAAAAACCATATAGACTACATATCACACAAAAATCGCAAAAAAACACAAACATACACACACACACACACCGTGAATTAAAAAGCAAACAAACCCAGAGCGCTGAGATAGCAAGCTTTTATTGATAGACAGACACTGGTAAAAGGTCATGAAAATGACAGAACTAAAGCTTAATTACCTTTTTCTCTTTTTCTGTCATAGTTTCCATTTCAAATGAAAAATTGCTAGAACAGTTTGAGAGAAGAGTGAAATGGTGTTAAATATGTGAGTGGTTAGGCAGACAAAGGAAGAAGAATAGACAATAGAAGAAGAAAAAAAAAAATATATGAAAACAAAGAAAAAAAATAAAGAAAGAATGGGAGAAATAAAGAAAGGAGGGCAGGAATAAAGGGAAGGAGAGAAGGAAAGAGACTGGATGGAGGGAGGGAAGGAATGGCAACAGGGTAGATGAAAAGTACAGATGGAAAGAAGGAGTGAGGGAAGCAAGAAAGAATAAATGGAGGGAAAAATGGAAGAAAAGAATGGACTGGAGGAAGGAATGAAGGAAAGAATGAAAGGAAGAATTTAAAGAAAGAAGAAGACCAAAGGGAAGGATTTAAGGAATGCTCTCAATTAGGGCATTGAGCCTGTGAGAACAAGTCATGATTTGGGTGCTGTAGTTTATGAACTAATAAAATGTCCTACCAGACCTCTAGAATCTGCAAATAGATATTAATGAAAGGAATTCACGGTAAATGGAGAATATACATTCTCCTCCTGAGGCATTGGCACTGTTATAAGAGCAGTTGATATATATATATAAAAGAACATATGGTACAGTAAAATGTTACATAAGTACTGATATAAGAAAGATTTAAAGCAATTTGTTAACCTGAAAAGTTAGAAAATATTTGTGAGGAAAACATAATTATGTCTATTAATTTGTTTAAATTAGAATGAGAAGGCAAACATTCTTATTATATACATGAACAGCTCACATATAATCTAATCATAATGAGTTATATACAACTTGCAGTTGTATACTTTTTCTTGTCATTGCCACTGGATTTCCCCAAATATTGCCACTGTGTTTTCCTAAATCATTACTTTAGTATTTTTGTGTTTGAATTCTTATTGCCACAGATGTTCTACAATATTGCCACTAGAATTTCGCCCAGTAACTGCAACAATATTTCCCCCAAACATTTTCACAATTTTCCCAAACCATTACTAGAGTATTCAGTTTTTGACTTATTGTCACTGTATACCTTGTCACTGTACAATTGTTTTTTTCTTGTTTCACACCTTCTGGTCCACACCTTCTAATTCCTTGCAAAGTGCTAATTTCTTGCAAAGTATCACATTGTAGAAGCTTGTTGTCCCAAGAATTGCTTACAAATATTCTTTCTTGCACACTGGTTTTGTTTAAATCAGTCGCTTGACGAGGATCAAGCTGCACCCGTAGAAAGTGTGGCAATACCTGAAGATGCTGACACTGCAGCATCAGAGAGTGTTGACGAAACTACAACCGTTGTAAGTTTCCCGGTAGATCTGGTCTCAACTTGCCACCAGAAACTGTCTAGAGAAAGTCAGTGTAGTTTTCTTCTGGTATTTTAGCAGTTGAATTTGTTGATGTATCAGTGTACATCTGTGATATTAGTGTACATTTGGTTTTAGTGGGTGTATATATTGTTGGCACTATGTCAGAGTCACCGGAGTGCTAGATCCTTGTTTTAAGAAAATCAAATTTGAACATTGAAATCCGTCTGAAAAACTGTAATTGCATGAAAAGTAATACTTCATTTTGAACTATTTGGGGTAGGAATTTCACTAATGTGCCTTTGGTGAAATTCGGGTAAAGCAAGGCTTTTCAACTAAGTTTATTCAGCGTCCAAAATGTTGAAAATGGGGATCGTCGCGGGTCAGAGGCCAAAGTCCCAACATAAAAAAATCATTAATGCAGTACAACTTCAATGACTTGTAGGCCACTTGCTAGGTTCTCTGCGAGCCAGATTCAGCCCGTTGGCCGCCAGTTAAATAGTCCTGCTTTAAAGTGACATATAACAGCCCTAATAATGTAGTTAGGTTGAAATCACCAGAATTTCAGTTGGATGACTTTGGCATAGTGTCAGTAAATTATGTTGTGGGTAATTGTCATCAGAAATAGGTGCATTCTTAGTTAGTGTGATGCATACTGTATCTATGCAAATTGTCATGTTTTTTTTTCTTTCTTGAACAAGTATGTTTTTTTCCTGTTCAACACATTTCAGTTACAACTAAGACACTATTTTAGATAGTTGAACCATGGTTATTTGTAATTACCAGTCTGTGTATCATATGTGATTGTACTTTGTATTTGTAGCCAGAACTTACTAAAGAAATCTATCAACATGTTTGTTTTTTACATGGTGTCTGTGTGATTTTCCTGAAAGTATTACACTTGTGATTTTTTTAAAATTGGCATTATTTGTGCATTGGATTACAACTGATACTTTTTGATGAGTTAAATAGCTTTGTTTTTATATATATATATATTTAAATTTGCATGATTATTTGACCATGAACGAATGATGAAATTGCCAGAATTTTCTGTGAACTTGACTTTATTTGATTCTGTGCTGCCACTTTATTTGTTGCCTTGATGAAGTCTGATCGCACTTACAGGTGAACAAAATGAAATCTTTGCTGAGTAATAGAGAGCAGTTGATCAAGGTAATTGTGCATCATGAGCAATTTGAACTATTCTAGTTCTGGTTATGGGCATTGTTTCTTTTCAATTGCTCTTTTGTTTGTTTCCTAGCCTGCCTAATGCTTTTTATATGGCTCCAAGACTGCAGAGGAGGCTGTGTACTAATATTTTTATGCTAGCTGTTGATTAGTAAAAAGTAAAGTCCTTCCACACCTTTAGGCATATAGGGCATATAGGGCTAGACCTATATTTTTATAGACCAATCGACACAAGATGGGTGATGTGGTCAGCATCACACCGGCCGTCCTTACTTTCCGGGACTGCACCTGGTGCCCACTCAAGGCTGGGTCGACCTGGGAGTCATGGTAATTTAAAACAAAAAAGTCCGACTCCGCCAGGGAACAAACCTACGACCTTCCGATCTGCACCCGAGTGTCTAGCCACTACGCCATGGGGACTCCCGATGTTGATTAGGTTTATGAGAATTGGTTCTGGCAAGTATTAGAAGATCAGTTTTGTGTTATAGTATGTCAGCTACAGGGTGAGCCGAAATTCTGCTGATATTTTAAAATTAATGGGCATTTAAGCAGTAAAGCCACATTTCTGACTTATCCAGTATATTGTATATCATTTTCTTCTTTCTCTCCCTGCTCTTGTTCTTCTTGTTCTTGTTCTTCTTCTTCTTCTTCATCTTCTTGTTCTTGTTCTTCTTCTTCTTCTCATCCTTTTCCTCCTCATCCTCGTCCTCCTCTTCCTCCTCCTCATGTTCCTCTTCTCCTCCTCTCCTTTTTTTTCTGTTTCTGTGTTATGATTTACAGCTAGGCTATGATATATGTGCCTTTTGACCCAACACATCAGATTTTAGGAAATCCCTAATAAGTCACAATATATTACATGTTTTTTTTAGAGAGCTGTGGGTCCTTTTTTCTCCGCCTGAATTTGGCCCTGAAACCCATACAGGGAGTGCATCTTTTTAAAACATAGTTTGGAAAATCTGGGAATCAACTGCCTGTTCTTACTCATTGTTTTAACTCATTTTATGGTCTTGTAGTTATTTTTCTGAGGTGAACTTAGCACCAATATTCATCAGCAACAAACTGCATTTCTGGTGGCAACTGTTGGCTTTGGCATCTCTAGCAACTGCCACATGCATTTACTGGATTGTGCCGGGACTATTGTTTGTTTACCAGTTTTTCAAATGGGATAGTGAGGGACGTTTCATTTGATTTGAATTTCACTGGCACAGGATTGGAGCAAGTATGGGGTGACCAGATTGCAATGAAATGGACTCTTCGACTAACACTAAAACTATTAATTTTTTACCTAAAATGTCTAGATAAGTTACTTATTTGTCAGTTGAATATTCAACAAATGGACATGTCTTAAGATGTGGAAAACACTTAGTTGATACCTCTATGTCTTGGAGTTTATTAAACTTCTCATTGCATGATTTTCTTATTTTTGCATTTCAATTGCATTTAACAATTTCTTTCAATGACTTTGATATTTTAAACTCATAACATGTATCTCTTTGATGTAATCTGAATTTTGATATATTAACTCATTGGTTTTTAAAAATCTGTTTTCTGGAATCTGTTTTGTATCTTGGATAGAAATCTTTGGATATAATTGGGCTAAAATTAAAATTTTCTCCTCCTACATGGACAAATGTATTTAATTATATAGTAGCTGAGAGATTGACATATTTGTTTCCAAATAAATTTGTGATAATTTATTAGATTATTATTATATTATTATTAGTTATAGTAAGTTATTATAAAGAAGCGAAAGAAAGGGCCCATTCAAGAGATCTCTTCCTGCCTTGACCACGCGAGGCATCCCAGGAGTAGAGAAAGGAAGAAGAAGAAGTAAGTTATTAAGTGTTGTTTAATAAATAAATGAAGGGGTCACTGTAAAGCAAAAGTAAGCAAAAGACCCTTTTCCTGCGATTGATTCATCTGAAGAAGAAGAAGAGTCACCAACAAAGGACTGAGAACAATGACAGGCACAGTACTGGTAAATGATTTCATCTGTCACAGAATCTAAACGATTTGACCATCTGGTCAGAATGGAACAAAATTGCTCAGAGGCCGACCAAGAAAGAGGTGGGTGGAGGAAGTAAAAGAGACAATGGAGACCTGCAGTAGGACATTAAAACAAGCTACGCAGCGAGCACAAGACTGGAAACTATATTTAACTCTTGTCTATGATGCTTTGTCGCATAAGCAGTAGGACAGAAGACAGAAAACTACCTGTAACTCTTTTCTGTGACACTTTACGGCATAAACATTAGGACAAAAGACAAAAAAACTACATCTAACTCTTCTCTGTGACACTTTACGGTATAAACATAAGGACAAAAGACAAAAAAACTACATTTAACTCTTCTCTGTGACACTTTACGGCATAAACAATAGGAAAAAAGACAGAAAACTACATCTAACTCTTCTCTGTGACACTTTACGGCATAAACAGTTGGACAAAAGACAGAAAACTAAATCTAACTCTTCTCTGTGACACTTTACGGCATAAACAGTAGGAAAAAAGACAGAAAACTACATCTAACTCTTCTCTGTGACACTTTACGGCAAAAGCAATAGGACAGAAGGCAGGAAACTACATCTAACTCTTCTCTGTGACTCTTTACTAAATAAGCAATATGGCAGAAGGCAGGAACTACATCTAACTCTTCTCTGTGACACTTTATAGCATAAACAGTAGGACAAAAGACAGAAAACTACATCTAACTCTTCTCTGTGACACTTTACAGCATAAGCAGTAGGACAGAAGATAGGAAACATCTAACTCTTCTCTTTGACACTTTACAGGTAGGTAGGTAGGTCGGTCGGTAGGTCGGTCGGTAGGTAGTTAGGTAGGTAGGTAGATAAATAGATATAGATATATTAGGTAGGTAGGTAGGCAGGTAGGTAGATAGATAGATTAGATATATTAGATAGATAGGTAGGTAGGTAGGTAGGTCGGTCGGTCGGTAGGTAGTTAGGTAGGTAGGTAGATAAATAGATATAGATATATTAGATAGGTAGGTAGGTAGGCAGGTAGGTAGGCAGGCAGGTAGGTAGATAGATATATTAGATAGATAGGTAGGTAGGTAGGTAGGTAGGTTACATCTTTCTTTAATCAGTAAAGCAGTGCCTGTTAGAGATTTTCTTTTGTTTGTTTCTTATCTGGATTGTATTTACTTGTATAATTACAGTTTAGTGAATAATTACTAAATAATATACTACTGAATAATTATCTAATCATGGATCAATATGTTTGCTTGATCTGTTTTATTTCCATGCAGCCTTTTATGAAATAATTCATTTTGAAACCTAATCACATTTCACGCCTTGATAACAATCCAAAGAAATTAAATACTAACATACTTCTACTATAACCTCTGCGTGTATGAGATTAATTCCCAGTTGTCTTGCACCTGCTAGTGTTTGCATGCTTCGCACACAGTACTGTTCTTGCTGCACATCCAGCTTATTTTAAAAGAGTTTTATTTTGCTGTAAGAACTTGCATATGTGTACAGTAGTTTATTTGAGTGTACTGTTTTATAGTTATTAGCGTGTAAACTATTCATGTATTATTTTATATTTGTACCAGTTTACAGTGGTTGATATCTTGGAATAGTTGAGTTGAGTTGATTCACGAATCGACATTGCAGCGCTCTGGGCATTCCCATAAGCGCTCTGTTCCCATCTTCAGCAGCCAGCACAGAGATCCAGTGCCAGTAGCATTCTGATTAAACGTCCGTCTTGCCTTCCCTCTGAGAGTCGAGTATCGACCAGATCCCCTTGTCACTCCCTGTTGCATCACTCTCACCAGACTGTGATGATCCATTTGCTTCTCTGAATTGTACATGCTCTTCCACATGGCCCTAACCACGTCTGCCTCATCGTGCTTCAATATTCCCCCAAATTGTCCATAGCCAGCCAGTTTGTCCGCCTGTTTATTTCCTAACACACCGGCCTACCCCGGAGAAAAGATGTAGCCAATACTCCTCACCCGAGACCTCTGCAGCGAAGCATGCCACTCTGCACAAAGCATGCCTGTCCTGACCTTCCTCAGCATGCTTTCTGAGTCAGTTACATTCAGAGAGAGAGAGAGAGAGAGAGAGAGAGAGAGAGAGAGAGAGAGAGAGAGAGAGAAGAGAGAGAGAGAGTGGGTGAGAGAGAGAGAGAGAGAGAGAGAGAGAGAGAGAGCATGCACGTGTATGCGTGCGCACGTGTGTGTGTGTGTGCCGGTCGTGTTCTCTAACCAGTGAAAAACCTTCACCTCCATTCTTAAGCTGGATGTTGTGGTATCATATTCTATCATATTGATTACAAATCTTGGAATGTAAAGAAAACACAACTAAATTAATAAGTTATCATTAATGGCCATTAAAACCACAAAACGCCAGCAAATGATGTGATTGGTTTAAAGTTTGGTTTAATTCGACGGATCAACATCATGGCCCATGGGTGCAAAGCCATAAGTGCTCCGTTCTACTTTTAACTTAAGCCTGAGTCTGAAGACACTCAGCGCAGTGCACAAACTCCGTAGCACCAGCAAGGATACTGAAATACTTTTTGGGTAGATTTTTAACTGACAATTGTGCCCGGGGCAGTGCAGTTCGGCTATTCTTTTCAATTTCCAACTGCCAAGGTATTTTTCTCGTGTACAACGGTACACACGGGCGACCAATCTTACTACCCAGAGATCAGAGGAAATTACTAGAAATCCTTGTGAAACAAATCTCAGCCTTGACCAAGAAAGAAATGAGTGGATGAGTTTGAACCCGGAACCTTCACCACTCGAGGTGAATGCCATATCTCGAGACCACGCAGGCCCCCCCCTCTCCCCCGATTGTTTTATAATGGCCTGTAAATTATATACAGCTGTATATAACTGCATGCCTGAGTTAGTGTATTCTTTACTTGATCCATTGTATTTTCCTGTTTGATGAACTTCCAGCAGTTTGTGACTGTTGTATCTTGGACTGAATGTCACTGGTTTACACATTGTTGTGGTTGTTTTTTCTTAATGCTTTATATCTTTTGGGTTCTTGATGTCTGCTAACAATTCATGCAAAAATGGACTTACCCATGGGGTTGCAATATGGGGTTTACACAAATAGATTTACTACTTATCTGACAAGCATTTTAAAGTTAAGTAAAAGACACTTTTCCACGCCTTTTGGCGTATTGGGCATATAGACCTATATTTTAGATCATCAGCACTTTGTGGGTGATGTGGCCAGCATCACGCCGGCCGCCTTTACTTTCCGGGACTGCACCCGGTACCCACTCAGGGCTGGGTCGACCTGGGAGTCGAGGTCATTTTTGAAAAAAAAATCCGGCTCCATCACCCGAACCCACGGCCTTCTGATCCCGCAGGTTGGCTTCTAACCGCCTACGCCATGGCGACTCCCTGGCAGTTTACAAAAGGTAGCTAATTACTTCTTCTTCTTCACTTCCTCTTTTACCGCTGTGAGTGTCGAGGGAGATATAAGGTTCTGTTTCTAGCTCTTCTGGCTGCCTCGACCATAGGCACATCATGATGTTGTAGAGTTTCTCTGATGTTATCCTTCCATCTTGTTCTTGGTCTACCCCGTGCTCTACGTCCTTCTTTCTCTTTCCATGTATGCTTTGTATGGTATGGTGTCACAAGGCATTCTCTCTAAGTGGGCAAACCATTTCACTTGCTGTCTTTGTATGTAATCCAGAATTGGTTCTGTGCCGACTTGTTCTCTATGATCTCATTCCTGACCTTATCTCTTATGGTCACTCCTATAGCCCTTCTCAGACATCTCATTTCCGTGGTTAGCTAATTACTAGTTTGCTTTAATTGAATGTGTTGGGTGAATGACACAGATTTTACAGCCTAGCTGTAAACCATAACATAATGTGTTAGCTGTCGTTTTTAAAAGCGAACGTAGAAGAAGTAGAAATTGTTGAATAGTTCACACGATGAAGTAAACAGCCGTACACTTGGGCCTGAGAAGTTTGGTCAAGGGAAGGTTCTTTTGAGTTAATATGTGATGTCGTTTTTGGAGCTGTGGAGTTTTGTGCTTTGTGTGGCTAAAACAGCTGTTCTGTGGTGAGAGACAGAGTCATTGAGAAACAGTCTGGTGCAGAGAAGTTGATTCTTTCGCTTTCAAATAAAACATATAAATGTTTGAACTAATACAATATGCTTCAAGCATATCTTTTAACATTCTTCATAAGTTGGCAGTGTATGCAACCCTTCCCTCTGTGAATAATATTTGTGAAAGGAGACGATTGTAGGGATTACCGCTTAAGGTCAGGGGAAACCTAATTTATATTAATAATAACAGGTCTAAAATTCTCATTGGTTGATGTTGGAAAATCCGAGTTAAAAATAGTATACACATCAGTGGGTTAATAATCACGTATCATGAATCATGGCAACGGATAGCAACACAAGAAAAACATAAAGTGATAAATAATGTTTAGTTGAACACATCCGAGATTTGCAGCTTGAAAGTGACTCAAAGAGCCACTTTTCAGATGCGAACCTATCATTAGCAGATCCTAGAAACACTTTCAGCTGTAAACAGCAGTTATATAGGGCACTCTTTGGTTGTAAAGTAACCAGCTGTTTGTATTCTTTTTTTAACGCTCATGGGCTATAAACTCTGGTGGTTATGTTTTTGTGTGTGTGTCCACTTCAGCAGTTTAGTCTTGTTCCAGAACCTGAGAGGTGTTTGCACAACCGTTTTACAGATCTGAAGTATTTGTATGCAGACTGTTTATTCGGTGCCTCTTGGGCAGATACACTCCGACTTTAAATGAAGCCTCTAACTTAGTCGACTCTTACGACCTGCTTGTTGGGGAGGCCATTAGGTCTTTTCTTGTTTTCGATGTAGGAAAGTTGTGTCTACAATTTAAATTGTATGTACATTGTTTTAAGACCCCCGCTATTCCCCTGTGTGTTTCTGGACCTAATTTTGGAAAGGGAGATGAGGGGGAATGGGTGTTAAAATGTTAAAAAGCGACTAATTATGGCTGTTTCCTTTAAAGTCAGAGTTCACCTGTCTGAGAATTGAGAAACCAACAAACCAAAAACATCAACCCAGATGTGCACACAAAACTCAAGTTCTGGAATGATACCAAGTTTCAGAAATGGACGAACAGTCAGAACTTTCCACCAGAGTTTACAGCCGATGAATGCTAATAAGAATTTTCCTGTAGTTCCGGCCATTGTTGCTACATGACACGTGCACTACTGATAGACAATGTCATCTTTGCTAGATTGATTGATGCCAACTGAAGCAAGTTTTATAATAGTTGTATTCTATACACAGGATCAAGAAAATGACCTAGCCAAATTAAGAATTGAGTTGACAAGGTTGAGAGATGAGGAGTCAAAACTGGAGCAGACGGCAGAATCCAGTAAACAGCAGTTAGAAATTTTGGCAAGATCACAGGGAGAGATTAGCAATGAAATTGTGTTGGTAAGTTTTCCTAATAGTCCTTCACTGTCATGCTGTTTAGTAACTTATATACAAGTTATTTACAAGCACTCTGACTAACATAGACCCATATGACTAAGATAATCACAGATGGGTAGTTGGAGGACTAAGATAATCACATAAGGGTAGGGACTAGACTAAGTTAGTCACAGATTTGTAGTGTGTAGACTAAGTTAGTCACAGATTGGTAAGGAGTAGACTAAGTTAGTCACAGATTGGTAAGGAGTAGACTAAGTTAGTCACAGATTGGAGAGGGGTAGGCTAAGTTAGTCACAGATTGGTAGGGAGTAGACTAAGTTAGTCACAGATTGGTGAGGAGTAGACTAAGTTAGTCACAGATTGGTAGGGAGTAGACTAAGTTAGTCACAGATTGGTAGGGAGTAGACTAAGTTAGTCACAGAATGGTAAGGAGTAGACTAAGTTAGTCACAGATTGGTAAGGAGTAGGCTAAGTTAGTCACAGATTGGAGAGGGGCAGGCTAAGTTAGTCACAGATTGGTAGGGAGTAGACTAAGTTAGTCACAGATTGGTGAGGAGTAGACTAAGTTAGTCACAGATTGGTAGGGAGTAGACTAAGTTAGTCACAGGTTGGTAGGGAGTAGACTAAGTTAGTCACAGATTGGTAGGGAGTAGACTAAGTTAGTCACAGATGGAGATTGATTAGTCTCTTATAGTCACAGATTGGTAGGGAGTAGACTAAGTTAGTCACAGATGGAGATTGATTTGTCTCTTATAATCACAGATTGGTAGGGAGTAGACTTAGTAAGTCACAGATAGAGATTGATTTGTCTCTTATAGTCACAGATTGGTAGGGAGTAGACTTAGTAAGTCACAGATGGAGATTGATTTGTCTCTTATAATCACAGATTGGTAGGGAGTAGACTTAGTAAGTCACAGATGGAGATTGATTTGTCTCTTATAATCACAGATTGGTAGGGAGTAGACTTAGTAAGTCACAGATGGAGATTGATTTGTCTCTTATAATCACAGATTGGTAGGGACTAGACTAAGTTAGTCACAGATCTGTAGGGAGTAGACTTTGTTAGTCACAGATAGAGATTGATTGGTCTCTTATAGTCACAGTTTGGTAGGGAGTAGACTAAGTTAGTCACAGATAGAGATTGATTAGTCTCTTATAGTCAACAGTTTGGTAGGGAGTAGACTAAATTAGTCACAGATTGATAGTGAGTAGACTAAGTTAGTCACAGATTGGTAGTAAGTAGACTAAGTTAGTCACAGGTGGAGATTGATTAGTCTCTTATAGTCACAGTTTGGTAGGGAGAGACTGAAATAGACACACATTGGTAGGGATTAAACTAGGATAGTCACATTTGGATAGGGATAACACTAAACTAGACTAAAATAGACACTGATTGGGACTAGGCTGAAATAGACCCAGATGGGTGAGGACTAGACTGAGATTTCAGCAGATGGGTGAGGATTAGACTAAGATTTCAGCAGGTGGGTAAGGATTAGACAGATTTCAGCAGGTGGGTGAGGATTAGACTAAGATTTCAGCAGGTGGGTGAGGATTAGACAGATTTCAGCAGGTGGGTGAGGATTAGACTAAGATTTCAGCAGGTGGGTAAGGATTAGACAGATTTCAGCAGGTGGGTGAGGATTAGACAGATTTCAGCAGGTGGGTGAGGATTAGACAGATTTCAGCAGGTGGGTGAGGATTAGACTAAGATTTCAGCAGGTGGGTGAGGATTAGACTAAGATTTCAGCAGGTGGGTGAGGATTAGACTAAGATTTCAGCAGGTGGGTGAGGATTAGACTAAGATTTCAGCAGGTGGGTAAGGATTAGACTAAGATACAGATGAATGTGGACTAAACTAAGATAGATACGTGTGATTAAGAATTATACTAAGATAAACACAGATGGGTTGGATAAGACTAGGGCGGATACAAGTGGTAAAGGATTAGACCAAGATGGACACACAACCATTCTGCTTTTCAGTTTAGCTTAGAAACAGTCTAAGGAAGAAAAACAAGAACAACATGTCTGTTGAAATTGAAAAAACAAAAATGGGGTCTTAGACTTAACAGAACAGTGCCATGTATTTAAGGTTCCCTGTATTGGTTCCTTTTTTGGGGTGAGGGGATGTAGACTTACTGCACCTTAACAGGCATCTCAAATGGGACTAAATAAAGGTCTGCCAAACGTGTTGGACTGAAAGGTGTAGACATAACAGCCTAGCTGTAAATCACAACATGCCAACTATCCTTTTAAGGGCAAATTTAGTGGAAGAAGAATGATCTCGCTAGATGTTACCGTTTGGAAGTTGGTTATTGATGTCAATTGACTGGGTATTTCACACAGATACGAAAGCACATCCAGCAACTTCACAGCCAGTACAAGAGCTTGGACCCCGGCTTTACAGGTCTATCGGGGGTTAACGGGGATGTCTCCAAGAGTGTGAACAATATCAGCAGTAAAGCTCCAGTAAGTTCAGATAAATAAAGTACTCACAATCACTCATCCACTCATCCATTCGCTAACTCTCCCCCAAAAGGTTCCAGGGTCCTATTGTGGGGAAAACAAGTATAGACCCACTGCCTCCCCAGCAAGCATGTTGTAGGAGTCGACTAATTGTGGGCGTCCTTTGAAGTCAGAGTACATCTGGCTGAGAGTCGAGGAACCAAGAGCCTACATACAAATAAGCCAGATCTGTGAAACGGCTGTGCACGCAACTCTCAGGTTCTGGAACAGGACTCAAGTCTTGTGGTAAACGAACATCCAGAACTTTCCACCAAAGTTTACAGCTGGTGAATACAAAGAAGAAGAACAAGAAAATTCCTTCCCTGTCTCACTCCCTCACTCACTAAACCACCTCGTCACACTCAGTCACTAATTCATTCC